TTGATTATTAGTCAAACGATTCTGAATTGGTTCTTATAACATTACTTTCTTTGAATTTTAACCAGGTGGTTTGCTTTTCTATTTATTTAATCATGTTAACTACTCACAGATTCAGGGCGCTTAAGTCTCTAAGGCACAGCCCACAGCTGAGCCCGCCTCTTTGCAGATAGACGCACATGGTCTCCAGAGGTAAGGAGGGCTTTGATAGAGTAAAACCAAAAAAACAGTTATGCCCATTCTAACATTTTATGATTGTTGATTTCCACTGAAGGCAAGTAAAACACTAGAGTCATTTTCAGAAGGTGGTTTCTCTACCTTCATGATTCATCAAGAAAAGGAAGAATCATTGTGATACAAGAGTACAATAAGCAATGCCTTGAAAACACACACATCTGTGTTCACACTCTGGTTCTATTACCTACTAGATGTGTGACTTTGGAGCATTATTTAATGAGTCTCTGTTCCTTATCAATGAATGAGGTTAACAGATCTACTCTACTATCGGTGACTATTATGGGGTTTAAAGGTACACTAGTTCTCTATAAAGTCATCAATAAGTTGTGTAACTTTAAGCAAATTGACATAATGAAACCAATTTAACCATGGGTTATTTGATATGAACAAGAGTAAAGTTCCTAGAATATCTCATCAATGTTATAATGAAACAACATTCACGAAACACTATTATTCAAGGACCTGCAATAATATGTGTAAAGTCCAATGCCTTTTACTGAGTAGTTACACATTAAATGGTAACTGAAGTTAAAAGGGACATGTTTTCCAAGTTTGCCTGCTAATAGAGGTTGATGGTTCATCCTGAAGTCCCCATAGTTTGACTCTTTGCAGCTTCCTTTAATGTTTATTGTCACTTAAATAAGTTTTGCGTGACCTTAGTTATAAGCATTTGGTAAGGGCCCATCTGACTATTCAACTTTCAGCAAGTATTTATTGTTCCAGGTAGAGTTCTGATGTTAGGAATATGACACAGAACAGAACAGACAAGAATTCATGCCATCATGGGATTAATAGTAGTCAGAAGATAGAGATAATAGGTAATGAAAATAAATAGGTATATTATACATTAGAATGTTGCAACTGCTATGAACAAGGACAAGGTGGCTGGGAACGTAGGGGACAGGAGGTGAAACTTAAAGGTGATGGTCAGAGTCAGCCTCATTGACAAGGTGACCGATGAGTGAAGATTTGAAGGAGGTGAAGGAATGAGACAATATATCAGGTCCCAGAAACAGTCAATTCAAATTCTCACAGGCATGAGCTTACTTGGTACAGCTGAGGAACAGCGAGGCTGCTTGTATCTGGAGAGGAGTGAATGTGGGTGCAATAGGAAATGCCATTAGAGGTTTAATGTGGTCCAGATCACTTGCAATGACTTTGGTTTCTGTTTGAGAGAAACAGAATCTTATGACGGTTTGAACAGAGGCATGACATGGTCTGATTTACATTTAACGGGATCACTCTGGCTGCTATGTTGAGAATAATTAGGGGTTAAAAGTGGGAATAAGACCCGACTGGTGTAGCTCAGTGGTAGAGCATCAACCTATGAACCAGGAGGTTGTGGTTTGATTCCCGGTCAATTGGCTGCCCCCCCAGGCTTGGATTGCAGGCTTTGATCCCCAGTAGGAGGGGTATATGAGGCAGCCAATCGATGATTCTGTCATTATTGATGTTTCTATCTCTCTCTCCCTTCCTCTCTGAAATCAATAATAAAATAAAATAAAATAAAATAAAATAAAATAAAAAGAAGTGGGAATAAGGATGCTAGTCTAATAGAAGGCAGCTTGGCCAATGTAACAGCAGTGGAGGTGGTGAGAAAGAAGTCAAAATCTGGAAGGGGAAAAAAGAAAAAAGAAAAAAAAGAGGCTGGAGTCTGGACATATTAGGAAGACAGCCAATTTGCTGATAGAATAGAAGCTGGCTGTAAGAAATAGAAATGTCAAGGATGACATCAAATGTTTTTGGCCTTGGAAGGACAAAGTTACCATTAAAGTAGGTGGGGAATATATGGTTGAAGCATGCTTGGACATGTTAAGTTCAATTAATATATTAGACATCTGAGATATGCCAAGGAGGCAGTCGAAGATATAAGTCTGGAGTTTAGGAGAGAGTTTTGGGCTGGAGATATAAAATTGGAAGTCACTTTCATAAAGACCCTATTTTAAAGCTAGTGGACTGGAAAAAAGAAGAGATCTAAGCAAAAAAAGAGAGTTGGGGCCAAGAAGGAGCTGCCATTGAAAAAAGATGATCAGGAGGCATGAGTATGTTGTGTCCTTGAGGTCTAATGAAGTTTCAGGAGGAGGGAGTGATCAGGATGTCAAATGCTATTTGATAGAGAGAGCAAGATGTCTGAGAATGGACCATTCCTTTAGCAAGGTGAAAGTGATGAGCGGTCAGGGCCTACTGAATTTAATAAAAAAAAGTGGGAGGAGAGAAACTGGAGCAGTTTCTTCTTTCAAGTTTTACTATAAGAGAAAGCAGAGAACTGTCGATAGATTTCCTTTGCTTAAAAAATGGGAGAAATAAGAGCATTGTCTGTATGCTGAAGGGTCTTCACTAGTTGAAAAGGAATATGTGGTAATGAGGAAAGGGGATGTATCCAGGGCTAAGTGGAAACAACCCACTTAGAAACACAGATGGCATCCAGCCACATACATTTCCATTTAAAGATCCCACTATCTTTAGATGAATGTGTTTTTTATACACGAGAAAGAAGCAACACATTCCATTTTCTTGCTAATAATTAAGAGCATTTAATGCTACTATGTCTCTAGGGAATGGAGCAAGAAAGAGGAATAAAAAAATCACTATTTTATAGTTAACAAACTGGTATAGATGACTTATCCAAGATTATGCACTAAGCTCTTCAAAAACAACATTAATTTTGGGAAATAAGTTACTTGTATTAGGTACAAACTTTTTAACTACTTTGAATGTCTGACAATTTTCCAAAATAATATTTTCTTTCTTACCTAAATCACATCCTCATGTTCTTATGATGTTTTAAAATTCACGCTAGTGTCACATAACAATTTCTTCAAGCGCTGTCCCAAAAACTTTTTTGGCCAGTTTAAATAGAGATAAATCTAATTTCAAAGGAGTTCAATAATTCTGAGGAAATGGACAGTTTGACTTAATCTTAAATATTGGAAACCCCCAAACAGACAATCCTTAGGTGTTCCAGACCACCTATTGTTCAAAATTCTAAGGAATGAGTTCCTAAGTAGTCACCAGACAAGTAGAAGAAAACTTATAACACTTCAAAGTGAAACTTGCCCATTTTATCAAATAGTGCATTACTAGAGGAATAGTCTCCAAGAAATAAGTGTGGGTGCCAAGATTTTGAATAAACAGTAACCAAATTCCCCCAATTTATTATAGACAATAGCCTAGAAATGGACACTAATTGTTTAAACCTATTTTTTTTTTCTATTATGATCCTGATGTTTGGGGTATGTCAAGGACGTAGGCCATCTTAGACATATCCATGTGGAAACAGCACATTTTATTGACCCACATCCAAACAAGCCTCATTGCAAAGATTCTTGTCTGAGCTTTAAAAACTCTGTTTCTTTACAACTTCAGGAAAACAGAATAAGGTACTGCTAGACTAAGTATTCATGGCTCATATGTGAGCCATTAACACATCAATGTGTTGCCACCTTCCTTCCAGGGTGAAGGAAGATTTTAAGAGGATATGGCTAAATCAGTGCTCCCCCCCCCCCCCCCCCCCCCCCGCCAACATTCCAATTGGTCATGAGGGTGTGTGTAGCACTCAAGATCACTAGGGGATATCTGAGTCCTCAATAAAACAGACTCTGGACTGTTCCCATCTGCAGCAACACACACACACACACATACACACACACACACACACACACACACGTTTCTTTAGCCTCCAACTTTCTAAAGAAATCCTTATTTCCTCTACCGATTTTCATAACCATAGAACACCAGTAATACTACTCATAATGTTCTCTTCCTGTGTGGAGATCAATGTGTCTTTTGTATCATGGTATAAAATCTCCAGAACCAAAGAATGGCAACATGTAAAATAAATTCTGTTAAGTGATTCCTTTGCCTTAAGGAATGTGGAGTCTAAGAACACTGGGATGAATTATAAGCCAAATGTCTAGGAAGCATAAAATGCATATCCATGTTAAATGTGAACAAGCTAATGTCATACTAGGACAATGACTTCAAGGTGGAAGTTTTGATCTTACAAACGTTTATTTTCCTCCACATTTATTGTGGGGGTTTTTTTTGTAATACTGTGAAAAGTCTTCATTTCCCTTTCCCCAAGTGTTGAGGTTCAAAAAGCCAGTTCTCAACCAAAGACTAATCTTCATCTCTTCAATGTCTTGTTTGTATGTTGATTTAGTTTCATATGTAAGTATTTATATTAGTTTTCCTCAGGGATTTATACATCAATATATATTTTTTCCTACACAAATATATACAAGCTTTTGATCCTCATCTTACCACTTGACAATACAACTTTAAGTATGTTTTACACAGCTGTTCCTTGGTCAAGGTCATTTGCAAGAGCAAGTCGGTTTCTGAAGAAATCTTGTTTGGTGGGTGAAGGATCCATTGAGGGGTTCTCATTAGTTTTTTCCCTGTATTCTGATCCACTGGACCTAAAATCTCAGCACACAGATAAAGTACAGGTTGATTTGGTTTTAATTGTTCTCAAATATTTTATCTATCCAAATTGTTTTGCATTTGTATAACAGTTACCTCCTAGACCTGGAATAGTATTTAATTCCCCCGAATTTCATGACTCGGGACATGTGTAACTAAGATTTACAGGGAAGATAAAGAGAATATCTTTCTAATGCTTTATGGGGACAATTGTAACAAATGTGTATGTCAGTGTTAGATATTGTGTAAAAACAAGGTAAAAGGGGAACAAAGCTCAGAAAATTCAAGAAATCCTATTTTTTTTTTAATATATATATATTCAACCAAGTAACTACTCCACAAACAAGTAAGGCCCTTAAATTAAAATGAATGGAATTCATTGTTCTCAACCAAGGTTATCAAGGGTCTTTACTGAACTTGGGCATTACATTACAAACTCTTGCTTTTACTGGTTTTCATTTTTGAATGAGAGATTTATTGAAACCAACCACACACATATGCTACATTTGGTAGAATGCAGAAATTGGTACAGTAATCAGATTGAGGAGATTCTGTAATCTCAACCACCACGAAGGAGACCAAGCCCAATAAATAGTCAACAACTCAGATCAGTCCAATTGAATCCCCAGTCCAGGGTGCATTCTTCCTTTATCTTGGTTAAGCCAGTTGGGTAATCCATTCCAGCTCTGTACCTTCTCCAGTTTGTTCTCAAGTCAGAAGTCCCTGGAGGAAGGAGGCTTTCTGGAAATACCTCTGATAAGCTAGGCTGGGGCCCTTCGGCTAGCTTAAACTCTGAGCTAGAATAGGTAAAACTATCCCAGCGACTAGAAACCAGTATCTTAAAGACCTCATGTAGGATGTATGAAAGTGACGTTAGACATGAAGTTCTTTGTCCAAAGCTCCTACACAACTAAATAAGTTCTCCGTATGTGGAGGCAGAGTCAGGCATGCTTCCACCACCCACAGAGAAGAATAAGTCCTTTCCCTGCCATTGGCGTACTCGGAATCCTCACTGTTATTAGGTAAGTTAATTATGACTATTACTTACTGAAATTACTGGGCAGAATTCAAACATCCTTTTTACTTTATTAAAGGAAGGAAGTTAGATCCACACACAGAGTAAAATCCAAATGTCTGGAAACCTGATGACTGACTGCATAGTTTTACTTTCCACCCTGATAGTTGGTATCGCAGATGAGGCCACAGCTGCCCAGCATGCTTTCTACCCCTGGTCTTTCCAGTACATCCCAATGCATAGAAGGAAAACTGGTCTATCTCTCAACCCAAGTGCATCTGGGCAGTCATCAGATACAGTGACATCTGGGTGGGGTGAGAGTCCTCCTCCTTTCCAGGAGCCCCCTTGCAATTCTCCCTTGCAACAGCCTCCACAAGCCCACCCTGACAGAACTCTTGGCCTTCTCTCTCCTCTCAGAACTCCCACCTGCCTCCAGTTCAAGTTGTTAGGAAGATACTGACCATTTCATTCTTTTCCCCATGTAGTCTGTTACCCAGAAGACTAGGGAATGCCTATAAGTTTTAGGGGCGGAAAGTAGAAAGCAAGATTTGAATCTGGCTGGTGTTTTTTTGTTTGTTTGTTTTTTTCTTGAATTGTTCTCCTACGTGGCAGCTTCTCATCAGAAAGTCATTAGTCAAAGCTTGCAATCTCTACCTCACATTTCCCCTTGACTACATCTGATCTCTCCGAAACCCAACATGTCATATTTGGTTCCAACATGCAACTATTGAGTGTTTACCTGGAAATGGGAAAGCTTTGATGTCACCACCAGCCCCAAGGACCACAGAAATCTTCACCAGATGCGTTCCCATTTCTGAAACAAATGCCAAAATCGCCCTGTCTAGTTTTCAAAGTCCACGAACTCAGCTTAGTTTTTTTTTTCTTTTTTAACTGCTCTTCTTATACACCACCTCTGTGTGTCTCCAGATATGTGAATGTTTCTGTGCTTCTTAACATTAACTATTAATTAACTAATGGATAACTTGCTAATCCTTTTAAAAATCTAGTATCCACTGTAGCCATGACTAAAAGCTCATTTTTTCCATCTTTTTAAAGGCAATTTTAACAGACCTCTATGCTGCGTACATGGTAGGTAGCCACTTCGACAACTGTTCCCTTCCCAAGGTGTGGCTGTTAGGCTCTGCAGTAATATTGACCTAAATTGCTTGGAAATCACCTGCAGACTGAGGAGAAAGGGTCCGAGTATTGGCTTTTACTCCCTTTCTCTATAAGCGAGAAATGGCTTTTGAGCTCTTGGAACCACGACAGATTTGAGCAGGCACTGAAGACACAGGCAGGCAAACACTTGCTGGGTAAGGAAGGGTTCAACGCTGCCAGTACATTCCGACACCTAACCATCCAAGTTAAACTTGCTGCAAATAAACCTTGACAGTTTGGAGCTGAGGAAGGGGAGAGGGAGTGGAATCTGGTGCACAGAACCCTCTGACCTAAGAAGGGCTGGTTTTCTGATTGGAAAGACTGTCCACTTTGAAAGCTTCAGGAGCCATATCCCTGGAGAAGTAAGGGGCATGTCTCTCAGTAATCAACAAGGTGACTGACCAATGAGCTTTTGCTTGTTACATGTTTGCTGAGTGCTTACTGTCTTTAAACCTTGCAGCTAGGTTACCCTTACATTTGGGCTGTAAGCTCTTAATGCACTACAACTACCTCTTTTACTTCTTTCGTGCTAAACAGAACCTAGTACACTAAAGATCCTTAACTTAGGGGCTGATTTCAAATGACATTGTGTGAGAAACACAATAAGGTGTGAGTAATCTACAATGTCATCCCTTCAACTATCTCCTTCAATGTTAACGTTATATTGGGAAATAAAATGGGAAATGAGAAAGAACCCCAAACTAAGTATGAATGTGGAAGGGACTTGAGATAGGCTTTAGGAGGTAAAGGAGAAGGTGAGGGTAAAATTATCAATTGATTCTTTAGTAGTCCTGTATTCTATTACATTGTCTGTCCCACAGCCAAGGCTGGGGGTATGCATGAACAGCTGATAAGACACCAAAAGAAGAGGATTCACTGATACTCAATTAGATGGGGGACCTGCAGAACTACTCTCTCTGTGTGTGATTCAGAGACTAGAAATATGTTGATGTGATTGGTGGAGGGAGGGTAATGACTGGGAAGGAGCTACTCTGAGGTAAGTTATAACGTGCTAAAGAAGAATAGAATGGAAGAAGTAGAATTAATTATTTGGAAGTCGTATTGTTTATCTTCCACTGCTCCCAGATTTGAGGATAAAAAGGGAAAGCATCTGCATTCCTTAAACTGTCTTACATAATCCTCTTTCCCTATGTCACACCCCAAACCAAGAATTCTTATTAACCCACACCCCAAACCAAGAATTCTTATTAACCCGAGTGCAAGATTTATATACAAATATGAAGTAACATTTGCCTGAGACTTCAGGATACTCTATACTCAAGTCTTTGACAACCTCCATATAGATCCTTCTAGAATGGGATAGTTTGCCTCCCATCCTCTCAAAGGAGGGGGAGAAGAATTCATTCCAGCATCAGCCTATCACACGAGGTCTGCGCCTGGCTTCTAAGACTCCTCACTTAAAACTTTGAAGTCACTTAACCTGTTCAAAAGTTAAGATATGTGGTCTTTCTTCTGGTTAATCCTGGCCAGCTTTCAGAGACATAGGACCTGGTGTCTTATCTACCCAGGACAGATGTGCCTGAGATAGAAACCAGAGGATCATTCTTTTCCCCAAGTGCCTTGGGTATTTTTCAGGATTTTTTTTTTTTTTAAATGTCAACTTGACTCTCCCTTTTGAATCCTTGTGGGTATGAGCATCCGGCCCTCCCAGCCTCAGAGGGAAGAGAACCCTTTCCCAGGTTTTCTGTGGCATCTGGCTCCATGCCTAGCTTCATCCCGAAGCAGCATTCTGGGTGTGTGGGGCCACCAGCCAAACAAGCCCCTATGGATACAAAAAGGGTGTCAGTGTAGACAGGAATGAGCCTCCGGAGGGCTGTAGGGTAGGCAGGCAGTGAGCCCCAGATGTGACGCAGGCGGCTTTCCTGGCGCTGGTCCATTCTGGGCAGCTGAGGCCAGGCTCTGGCACGGTTCCAGTCCCCAGGGTAAACCACTTCCTGGTCACGGGGCTTGCTGCCAAAATGATCTCCCAACAACATGGGAGGAGAACGACCTGAGTCTCTTTCCGGTTCCTCCATCTGCCTGTCCACAGGCCTAACTTCAGAGACCTCCGTGACAGCTTCTACAAAAGCTTTTCTGCAGAGCACCCGTGACTAAGTCTTTCATGATTCCTGCACAAGTGTCTCACCAAGCACATGCGAACAAGAAAGAATGCCTAATGGATGAGAGAAGAAGGGCATGTTCTCACCTAAGAGCACCGGGCCTTTCCATGCTACACTGGGGCTTCCTTGTTACTCCTCTTTACCTTAGCATAAGGAAGCAAACTTCCCATGGTTTTTGGAGGGAAATACTCAGGAAAAGTCACTCAAGCTGTTTCTTGATCCCAGGCCAAACCCCCAAAGTGCTCATTGTGGTATCCTGGACATGAGGTGAGACGCAAGCATCCACTGGCGGTGCTCAGTCCTGCACCAGATGTAAAAAGCCAGGCAAGTCTGCCAGAGAAAGCAGCCCCTGTGTGGCTATTCATATAACGCTTCAACATTCAAACACAAAGCATGGTGGCAGCAATATGATTGATGCAGGAGGGACTCATATAAGAGAAAAGATAAGAGGAGTAAGGGAATTCATCTGGCTCTCTCCCCAAAAGTTGCAAGATAACTGGAAGCAATTAACCAACATGAACTTGAAGAGTCCACACAGCAAGTCCTCAGCGTTGTATTGAGGGCTGTCAAGGAGCTATAGAAAGATAAAATCAGGTCTTCCACACAGTGAGTCTTTAACATTACGGGTCACATTAATTACTTGTGTCAGATGTTAAAAAGATGTGACTATGCAGACTGACAAAGTCAAACCACATATAGTCAAACTACAGCACTCGACATGACTCAGGTGGCCATCCTGGACAATCTCTCCCCGGGGTGGGAATCCATGTCATAACATCCCTGACCAGGGTCATCTGCCTTCCACGAGAGAGAACCCACTCCCTCACCAGGCTGCCAGCTCCAGTTCTAGGCAGTTGCATTTTTAGAAAGTTCTTCCTCTCACACATCGCTCCTCGTTTCTACCCCCCTGGACACAGACAGGACAAATCTATTCCCTCTGCTTCAGCATTTTCTCCCATCTCTCCACAACATGGCAGTTTCTAAAGAGACCAGTGGTGGATCCAGGGCTCACTGCTTTCCAACAGACAGTACCCAGTCGTTATACATGGCAGCGGGCACAAAGTGGCTGTGTATTTTTGGGAATACTAATGTTCAAAGGACAAAGGTTCAAGCAGTGCCCTTAGGAATTTGGAGTCCTTAGAAGGACTTAGGAACCTAAGTCCCAAGGCCAGGCAGGGGAATTGTCTGCCTCCGGCTTTCACCGCCCTTGCCACACTTGACACAAGTAGGCGTTAAGACTGTGATCTTCAAGGGAAATACAATTCTTAACTCCTCACCCTAAATCTAGGGGATCCAGCAAAAGTCGTGCATGTGTGCAAGGGGCAACCTCAGCGAAACCGAAAGGGGACTCTGCAGAGTAGGGCTATTTCTGATTGAGTCGTGTTTCTGTCTCTGCCTATTTCCCCTTCTTCCCGTAACAACAGGTGAGGACCAGCAGAGACCCACTGATCTCAGTACCACCCTCCCCAAAAGAGAAGAACTGGACAAACTATAAAATAAAAAATAAAAAAAATAAAAAAAATAAAAAAAAGAAGTCCTCACTCCAGGCCTGCCCCCAGTTCTTTCATCAAGATAATTCATTATTTAAATCAGCCAAGAACCTCTACCTTTAAGAATGTGATTTTCCTGTGCTTCCTCGTTTATTAGAAACTCTCCAGAGGCAGCAATACTGCCGTGAACTTTTCCGTCCACTAAAATAGGAAGACTTGCTGTTCCAAACTGACTGCAAGAACCTCCTCCACCAGGAAAAACTAAGCAGCAGGGAGAAAATCTCTCTTAAGGAAGAGTGAAGGAGGCCCGAGGACCAGTGGAAATAGAGACTACAGTTTCTCCGGTGTGCAACGGCTGGCCTGGACATAGTATGTTCCTTACATTTCATGCTGGGATTAGACCACTGTTTCCCAGTATGTAAGACAGTAAGATGGTAAGTGCTGGCCTACAAGAAGGACCAGAGAAAGAAAATGGCTTGTTTTTGGTTCCTAAGGAGTGGGGAAACTCCATTACAGTGATCTTTTTTTTTCTTTTTCTTTTTAACTAAGGCCCAAGCCAAATCTATTCAATCGTTTCAGATCGGGAAGACACTGTAAGTCCCAATAAACAGTACTATAGGGCCCTCCAGGCGGAAGTGCTGAGATGCCTTAGGAAACTTTCAGTTGCAACCAACTCCCATAATGGATCCCCGTCCTCCCAGTCTAAAAGGAATGTCATTGTCACCAGCTCATTTCCCAGGGGACCTCCTCTGCTCACTCCACCCAGGACACAAGACTTTCCTAGCCACAGGACCACACTTTGAGAAACACCACACTAACCCATCAAGATGTTGAATCTTAGTAGACGGTCCTACATCTGGTTTTCCAGTAAGGTAGTATTTGGGCCAGAAGAAGTTAATCTCTATACTCTATAAACAGTACTATAGGGCCCTCAAGGAAGTAGGGCTAAAAGATGGAAGAGGCAGAGGACAGAGCTGAGTGTGCTTTTACTCTAGCAGATTGCAACGAGAAACATCTTCACCTGCGTGAACTGTGGCTACTGGGAGCAGGCACTGAGCTTGAAGCCGTTGTGTGAAACCAGGCTACTCCATACTTATTACTTTTAAAAAACCTCAAGACTTAGCCCAAAGGGAAATGCGTTACAATGCTGTCTTGTCTAAGGGCTACTCACTTCTTTTTAAAGAGCTTGCGGAAGGAGCTGCGAAAGCCCCCTTTCTGGTCTTGCCTGGGGTTTTGATCGCTGAAAGATGTTTGTTCACTTTCTCTTTCATCTTTTGGACAGAATCTGGTGGCGTCTTCTAAATGCATCTCCTGAAAACAGAAAAGAGGGATTTTTTTTTCAGTCTGTTCCGTAGTTAACATCTAGCCTGACTGGGGGACATTTTTTTTTTTTTTTTTTAAGCTCGGTCACTTTCCTCTTCCACCCCAAAGGCTAATGGTGGCTACCCTATTCCAACTTCAGCACACCTAAGCTAATCAAGAGATTAGTAGTTGAAAAGAGAATGTTTTCTGCTGGGTGTACAAGTATTTTTTATGTATTAAGGCAAAGAGTCTAGAATCTATATCATAATCCTATATGATATAACAAAAATTAAACACCAGGAAATAAAGGAAATTGGCAAATGTTGAAAGAGTATAGAGATTAACTTCTTCTGGCCCAAATACTACCTTACTGGAAAACCAGATGTAGGACCGTCTACTAAGATTCAACATCTTGATGGGTTAGTGTGGTGTTTCTCAAAGTGTGGTCCTGTGGCTACAGGATCAACTGGGGCCTTTATTTAAAATACTAGAGGCCCAGTGTTTGAAATTCGTGCATGGGGACAGGAGGGTCCCTCAGCCAGACCTGCACCCTCTCCAGTACAGGAACCCTTAGGGAATGTCCTAGGCCCACTTCCCATGATTCTCTGCTCTCTGTGGGGCCTGCCTGCTGCACACCATGGCCATAGGCAAGCAGGCCCTGCTGGGTGTTGCCTGTGGGCTAGCTTGCCTGCTCCTGGGTTGCCCTGGCAAAAGCCAAACAGGCCCTGCTGTCTGTTGTCAAGCTGCATGGCCACCCTCACCTCCCAGGCAGGTGATGGTCCCGGGAGGCTGTGGGCTTGGTGCTGCCCCGCCTCTGGCCGCTTGGCGCCTGATTGGCTGGTGGTCATTGAGGAGGTATGGTCATTTTGCATCTTTCTCTTTTATTAGTGTAGATAGGTCCCTAAGCCCCACCCATATTTTCTGAACCAGAATCTCTGGATCTATGCACACTTAGATTTTGAAAAGCAGTGGTGTAAGGTATGCTCCTGCCCAACTGCACTTAATGTTTATATGAATCATCTAGGAATCTTGCTAAAATGCAGATTCTGATTCAGTAGATCTGGGATGAGGCCCACATTCTGCATTTATAACAAGCCCCCAGATAGGTGACACATTCATTCCTGGGCCAAGAATCACATTTTCAGAAGTGGGCTTTTAGGGACTACTTAGAAACTAAATCTATTAATAGTTGAAGGAAACTCTTTCTGTGGAATCATGATCTTGATAATATCTTGCAGTAGTGTAGCATTCCATACTATGAAGAGCATAGTGACAAAGTTTATCTTATTTGGCCTGACCCTCACAACAGCACTGTGAGGTCAGAAAGGTATATATCGTCTTATTTTTACGGACGTGAAAACTGGAGGCACAGAGAAGCCAAGCGACCTGACCAGAAGCACACAGCCATCTGGGAGTGGAGTCAAGACTAAAACACTGATCTCCCGACACCTAGTCAGGTGTTCTTTGCAAAGAGCATGCTGTCTTTCTTTCTTAAGAGACAGAACACTAACGACTAGGGTCTGACCTCCTTAAATGTCAGATATCAAAATACTAAACACTGACATGGAGGCGGGCTGGTGAATCAATGCTTCCTTGGCTATTCTGTGTTGTCTCCGTCCTACTGGAGCCTGCAAAGTCACGTGACACCTGTTTCCCCATCAAAAAGGAAAGCAACAGGAAGTCAACTGGTCTTTGCCAGGAACTTCGCAGGGAGTCCACCGTGTCTTCCCGAGCCACACACAGAAGCTGGCACGGGTCAGGGAGGAGAGTGAGGTGGCAGTGTTGGATACTGTGAGCCTTTAAACCACATGTGTCAAACACAAGGCCCGCGGGCCAAATCTGTCCCGCCAGGCCTTGCAATGTGGCCTGCACCGCGCTGTCATCACTGCACTCCGCTGCGTTTCCATCACAATGACAGTTTATGACTGTTCAGTAAACCATTCGGCCCGCGATTTAGGCTGGATTTTAGATTTTGGCCCCTTCTCTGATTAAGTTCGACACCCCTACAAAGAGGCGTGTGTGCCTAACCGGCAAAGGAGGAAACAGACTGGCAGGCGGGGACGTGCCTGCAAATGCTTGGAAAGGGAAGCACCCTGAGGTGCTTGTGCAGGAAGGCAGAGGCGGGCCCTCACTTTTTCAGTGGGGTTGGGGGTGACGGTGTAAGCAGGTGTAAGAAGACTCTATGGCCCATCCAGAACTGAAATATCATTGCTGACATGTACACATAAGGAACTGTTTGACATTGAAATTGTTGGGTCTCAAAAGAACTGTTGGCCCAGAAAGAAACTACAGAAACTCACTCATTTGCTTTTCCACATCACCATTACTGCTTGTCTCATGTTCTGTTCTTATCAGTGTGTTTCTAGTAGCACATGACCTCACTCATCCAGGGGAAATGATGGACAACATAGACTGATGAACAAGAACAGACCCGGAGACAAGGAGGCATGGATCAGACTGTCGGACCTCAGAGGGAGTGTGGGGGAGGGTGGGGATAGAGGAGAGAGATCAACCATAGGTGTGCATGCATATGAGCCTAACCAGTGGTCAGGGCCAACAGGGGGATGGGGGCATGCGTGGGGAGTGGTGGGGGATGCCAAGGGGGGATGAGGACAAAAATGTGATACCTTAATCAATAAAGAAATTTAAAACAAAATCAAAGAGCAGAAGAAGAAGAAGAAGAAGAAGAAGGAAGAAGAAGAAGAAGAAGAAGAAGAAGAAGAAGAAGAAGAAGAAGAAGAAGAAGACGACGACGACGACTCTGTGTCTTTTAGATCTCTTTGCCATCAATACATATACACGTATGGCATGCCAGTTGGGTCTCGATGCCAAGTGCAGGACCGAAGCTCACACTCTCGGCAACTGAGGTCAGGCGAAGCCTTCACCCCAGCATCCGCCTTCACAGGCCGCTCCCCACCTGGCAAGGCCCCCTTCGAGGCTGCAGGCGAGGCCAGGCCGCTCCCTGGACAGGTAGTCCCGGGTGTGGGGTTGGGTTTTACTTTACCCTCCTTACTTCCAAATAGGTCTGCTTTTCGCTCTGGGACCTCTGCTGGGGGAAGTAGGTCCTGGGCGCGCCGCGGGAGGCGGCGGCCGCGGCGGCCGCGGCGGCGGCGGCGGCGGCGGCCGCGCCGTGCGCCTGCGCGGCGGCGCGCTCGGCCTTGAGCGGCGCGCGGCCGCCGCTGCTGCTGCGCGTGGAGTAGAGGCGCGGGGCCACGCCGTCGGCCGGCGGCGTGCGCGGGAACTCCTTGAGCGAGCGGCTCAGCGGCTTGGCCTTGCCGTGCTGCGCCTGCGCGTGCGCCTGCGCCGCCGCCTCCAGCTTGTAGGCGCCGCTGCTGCTCGCCGCCGGCGACGTGGCGCTCTTGGGCAGCGGCTGCAGCGCGTGCTCCGGCCGCTCGGCCTCCATGGCGAAGCTGACGGGCCGCAGGAAGCAGATGTCCAGGCTGGACTCGGAGGAGGCTGGCGAGCAGGTCTCGAAGAGCGCCGGCGAGTGGAAGGGCTCCTCGTCGTAGGGCGGGGCGGCGGCGGGCAGCGCGAAGATCTCGCCGCCGTACTCGAACTCCTCGTAGGCCGACGAGGGCACGAAGCCGCGGCCGTCGTTCCCCAGCGAGGGCTCGGCGGGCGCGGGCTCGAAGTCCATCTCCGGGATGGACTGCAGGGGCCCCGAGAGCGCCTTCACCTCCTGCTCGGCCGGGCAGAACTGCAGGCTCTCGGGCCGCTCGTGCTTCCGGCCCTCCAGCTCCCAGTCGCCGCCGCCGCCGCCGCCCGGCTTCCCGGCCTGCATGCCGTCCATCAGGCTCTGCTGCTGCTGGCTCTTCTTCATGGGGGGCATCAGATGCCTTTCGAAGGAGAAACAGTACGAAAGAAGTGTGCTTATCTTACCCGGAGTTAGCGTAGGCCTCTGCCCCTCCCGAGCACTTGGGTGTGTTATCCACCAAGCGCCCACGAGCCCTGGCCCCTGCGGGGAGGAGGGTGACAAGGCCCTGCTGGTGAGCCAAGGATGGTCATCGCTCCCCACTTGGAAGCTCTGAACCTCCCCACCAGGTGTCAGGGCCCCAAGGTAACTCTTTCCTCTCTTGCCCTAGCTGGTTTTGCTCAGCGTCAGCCTGCAAACCGAGGGGTCCTGGGTTCGATTCTGGTCAAGGGCACTAGAGCGGGTTGTGGGCTTTGTCCCCGGTAGGAACATGCAGGAGGCAGAAGATCAATGTTCTCTCCCATCATTGATGTTTCTGTCTCTCCCTTCCTCTCTGCAAATCAGTAAATCATATATATATATATATATAATTTTAAGAATAAAATCCAAAGCAGAAATTATCTATAGAATTGTCTATACTTGGTAAAGTGGGGATTTGGAATTTTGAGTTTTGGTTTTCCTTATCCTTCCAGATGTCCTGGTTCCAAAAGTAGCCAAGTTGACTTTATCCTTACTATCTTTCAGAAGTAAAATGAGTTTAATTTTACTTCTGAAAAATGAGTATTCACTTTAAATAGTCTAATCGTTACTTTAAAGATCATCAAGAAGTTTGCAAAATGAGAATTCAGCTTAGTGTGTTAGAAGGTTGTATGCAGAGACCCAGAAAGGCTGCCAGATCCATCCACTGCTCAGAGCAGCTTTCAGAGGAGCTGTCATACGTGAGGAAGGGCTTCTGTGGTCACTTTCTAAGAAAGCTTCAAGGAGAATTGGGAAAGGCTGGACAATATTCTTTCTGGATCACCTCAGACCTATTTTTATATTTATATAGATATAGATAAAATTTTTATTGATTTCAGAGAGGAAGTTAGAGAGAGAGAAAGAGAAACATCAATGTTGAAAGAGAAATATTGATTGGCTGCCTCCTGCATGCCGCTTCCTGGAGATCAAGCCTGCAACCCAGGAATGTGTCCTTGACCGGAATCAAACCTGGGACCCTTCAGTCAACAGGCCTATGCTCTATCCACTGAACCAAATAGGGCTCAAAACAATTTCTTATCCTCAGAGCCCAGACATTTTTTTTTTTTTTTTTATTGACCCCTGACTGGGATTCCCTTTCCCTCCACTCTGTGTTTTGGAAACCATTAAGTGGGTTCCCATTCTTCTGAGGGGTTGTAAAATGCCTTCCTTCTGGTGTCACTCTTATCATTGTTTAAACCCAGAGTCCTGTGCTGTAGGTATAGAGGATGGTTACCCACAATCAAGTTGTTGGAAGTAACCTCAAGCCTCTAGAGCACATGTGTCAAACACAAGGCCCTCGGGCCAAATCCGTCCCGCCAGGCCTTGCAATGTGGCCCGCACTGCGCTGTCATCACTGCACTCCGTTGCGTTTCCATCACAATGACAGTTTATGACTGTTCAGTAAACCATTCGGCCTGTGATTTAGGCTGGATTTTAGATTTTGGCCCCTTCTCTGATTGAGTTCGACACCCCTACTCTAGAGTCCAGGCCTAACCTTTAGCATTCTTAGTGCCTTCCTCGAGGATACAGATATTGGGCCAATTGCTTGCCTGTCACATACAGGCTTGATGGGGCAAGAGGGAGGGAGGAGTTCTGTGGGTCATACTCCTGATCCAGACTGGCCAGCCACCCCACACAGACCACCTGAAGCATTGTCAGTAACCTCTCCACAGCAGCAGGTGCTTACGCGATAGCAGGGCCGGAACCTGGAGCAGAAGAGTAGGGTTGCAGCACCTCTTCTGAGTGGATCCCACTGTCACGGACAGCCTCAGGGCCTGCGGCGGGGGAAGTGTCTTGCCCAGCATTGGCACACTGGGAAGCCAGCCCTTTATACAGCTTCGCCATGGATGACCTAACAGAATGGAAGTAATCTCAGGGTATACAGTGGGAAACTGGCTCTCTGAACACGCAGATCATGTCAAGAAAGATAGGGAAACAGTGTTTCTCAGAAGAAGCTCAGCTGTAAAGTTCTCTCTCCAGGGCCCTCTGCATACTGGGTTGCTTACATAACAGGGTACCAGCTGGATATTAGGCAAGAGTAATGATGCTGATTGATTGGCTGAATTGAGTGGGAAAGGGGTGGTACAGAGCCATGTCCTCCATTAGAGGAGCCATAGCTTGGAAGATAGCACCTTTTTCTTGTCCGTAAGTAACCACAGACTCAGTTTTCCTTATTGAGTTGTGATGAGGTTGAAGGAAATCCAGGTCATGAGGAAGCTCTGCTATTGGTTGCTTCTATTCTCTCAGAAGCCCTGATTCTCCCTTCTTAGCAAGACATCTATTCAGCCACCATCCCCTCCCTTTGTTTTATTTTTACCCATAGCACTTATCAGCTTATTTATTAGCTGGATGTCCAGGTCTAGAAAGTAAGTTCCATGTGGCAAATATTTTTGTATTTTTTTTTATTACAGTATATTCTTTATAGAAGAGTACCTGATAAACACAAATAGGTGCTCAATAAATATCTGTTGAATTAATGAAAGAAACCACATGCTGGCCTTTGATCAACCCTCTAGACTGCACCATCAGAACCTTACTTCTTGAGCTTTTTCCGTTTCTGAATAAGCAAATCCTCATTGCATTGAAACAGCAGGGTGTAGTGTGAGATAAATACTCGAAGGCGCTGAACACACACCAGAAGTAGGTAATAGTCAGGGTGTTCCTGCTCTGTGAACTTCAGGACGTTCTGGATGAAGGAAAAGAAGCAGCATTGCATAATTAGAATGAAAAGTTGTTTCGTTTCTTCCGTACCTTGCCTGGATGTGCTGTGAGAATTTGGTAGCCATTCACTAAAAACAACAATACATATGACCAATCTAATCATAAGCTGAAAAGTCAAACGTGCTGTTTTCTTTGTCCGTCACACCAAAGGAAAACAATACACTATCGCTCCTGTTTGAGTTGGATGTATACATAGGATAATGCCATCTGAAAAGTTGGATCTATTAATTAGATCTCTTGAGGTAATGGAGCCGTTTTAACAATTACTGTTGAAGAAGTGATATTTATAAGACTCATAGGAGTCAGACCAATGGTGAAAATGTGAAATACCAAGGCACTCTGGAAGAGGAGTGATGTTTGTGATCAAGGCTGGCGTGGTGGTTGCTCCTATTACATTGCCTTCTGTGCTGAAGTGGAACATTCATGCAACTTGAAATTGGAAGACTAACATTTATTACTTCCTACTGCCGAACTCTAAGCATGCACATATAATTTCTCATTTAGTTTTTACCATAGCCTCATTAGATAGGTAACATTATCATTTTCATTTAACAAGGGAATCAGGATATATAGCAGAGTCAACTAGTCTTCATTAGGTTACACATCTAGTTAGTAGCCGAGCCAGTAACTGAACTCAAGTCAGCATACTCCTTGCAACACCTGGGTTTTGGCCCTAATTTTTTTCATCTGTTAGTGTGTTAACTGGGCAAGTTATTTAAGTTCTTTAGCTCTCCATTCCTTATCTAAGAAGTGATAATACCTATTTCAAGAGACTGTTGAAAGGATTAAAGAAAATAATTATTGTGAGAAAATGATTTTAAGATCAAAAGCCACATACAGTAGAAGGTCTTTTGTTATTCTGGGCTACTTCTATCTGAGATAAATCCCAAGCATTTCTAAGATGCTTCATTGAATGACTTAGATCAGTCAGCAAATAAACCGGGACAATGGGTGGTAGGAAGAGGGACTGGTAAGGGTGTTGGTGAGCCTCTCTCTCAACTCGACTTCCTTCAAGGTGGACAAGTCCTGTGGGAAACGGGTGTGAAGAAGTCAGTTAATCAGTTTCTTCATACTTCTTCTGTGACATAAGACAGAAGCAATGTATGGTGAACCCTTGGAATCAAGCCAAAAAAAAGTAGGTAGAGTTACTTGGGCAGGTTACATAGACAGTTCTTAGGCATTGGGGTTAGGTGGGGGGACGGGATTAGGGGACATATTTAGATGGCTGTAGAATCAAGGTAGAATGGACTGAATAAGTACTTAGAGTTTAGCAGGAGCTGCTATAGAAAGATCCTGGATCAGCAGAGGTGGAGATTGCTGGTAAATGAAGATAGAACATCAAAGGCAGGCATCATGAACCAAGCACATTTTGAGATTGAGATTTTTAGCTCATATCACAAGGTGGGGATGGGGAAATCATAACAATCTTAAGTATTTAAATACTTCTTACAAATATTAATTATTCCTTCCTGACCCCTGACAGTGTTTCTTGAAACCCAAAAACGAGAGTTTAGCCTGAAAATCACTTCGGGAGCTTGCCCAGACATGCCTACCTGCAGATGTATCAGATATTCAGGGATGCGCTGGACTATATGAAAAAACAGTGTATAGATGTCGGATTTAATCTCTTCATCGCCCTGAATGAAAGAAAGATAGAGCCATTCTTCAATGTCCCTCCAACTCTGGCTGCAAACCCCCGTGTCAGTCCCAGCAAAATAGAAAAGGTTGACTCCCAGGGCATTTTCTTCCTCTACAGCAGCGTTTCCCAAAGTGTGGTTCGCGTACCCCAGGGGTACGGGAAGTTTGGTGGGGGTACGCGTTGCACTGGAGTATGGTAGGGATATGCACTGCACCGTGCTTAGCTGCGCCTAATTCTATGTTTTCATGAGTACGAGGAGTACCGTATTTGCTGGCGTATAAGACAACTTTTGAAACGAAAAAAAGTCAACCGAAAATCGGGGGTGGTCTTATACGCCGAGTATATCCCGAAAAAGTCTCGATATGCCGCTAAACGAATTTTCCAACTTGATCCAGCACCAATCACTGCAAGGCTCCTCGGACCGCCTCTCTGACTCAGCCAATCCAAGCAGGCTTTTTATGCATGCAAATTATACATGTTCTGTACCCGAAGCTACACTGTGTTCTACAATAGTAAAAAGCCTGCTCAGATTGGCCAGAGTCAGAGAGGCAGTCTATTAAAAAAAGAACTGGTGTTGCCTTGGAAGTGGGGGGGCAGTCTTATACAGCGAATATAGGCCTAAACCTATCTTTTAACTGTAAAATTAGGGGGTCATCTTATACGCCGGAAAATACGGTACTCAGCTTTATGAAAATTATAGAAGGGGTACACATATGTCAAAAGTTTGGGAAACACTAGAGTGAGAGAAAGCATTGGTCTTATTGGATAGGTCACTTGTTCAAGGACATGCTCTCGGAGACAACTCTTCTCTAGCAGGGAGGGTATCATATACTTGGTTTGTATCCACCCAACTTTCCAAACTATCCCTTCCATTCCACCCCCAGATATTAGCACAGCGCTACACAAAAGTGGGCATTTAATAAATTATATTTAAGTACTAGCTGTTTTGGCTCAGAGGATAGAGCGTCGCCTGTGGACTGAAGGGTCCCAGGTTCAATTCCGGTCAAGGGCACGTACCTCAGTTGCATTCTCGATCCCCAGCCCCAGTCAGAGTGTGTATGGGAGGCAACCAATCAATGTGTTTCTCTCTCATCAATGTTTTTCTCTCTGTCTTTCCCTCTTCCTTCCACTCTCTAAACACCAATGGAAAAATATCCTCAGGTGAGGATTAACAAACAAAAAATTATATTTAACTTGAATGAATTCATTAAGGTTCTCCAACAAGTAATCATTGCAATGGTTTGCTAATAAACACTGGGGATTGATTGGAATCACACGAGAGTGGGTAAAGGGATGTGGGTAGAAACTGGCCAGCTGGTTTGGCAGCAGGAAACATGGTGGACTTTATCCATACTGTTCCCTTCTTTTCCTTTCCCTTTCTCAAATATTTTCTGAGTACTGACATGTGGTAGGCATTCTACTGGGTTGGGTGTAGTGAGGTAATATAGAAAATTAAGACCTCACCTCTTACAAAAATTATTAACTCTTAACTTTAGGGCTTCTGTTATGGTTTCTTCCTATTAACCTAAAATAACTAGAATTGTTATATACTTATATGTGTGTGTTGAACACCTAATATAGTATTACTAGCACATTAGCAATTCTTTTTTAAAATATATTTTTATTGATTTCAAAGAGGAAGAGGGAGGGAGAGGGAGATAGAAACATCAGTGATGAAAGGGAAACATTGATTAGCTGACTCCTGCACACCCCCTCCTGGGGATTGTGCCCGCAGCCCTGTGCGGAATCGAACCCGGGAACCATTCAGCCTGAAGGCACACACTGTATCCACTGAGCCAAACCAGCTAGGGCTACATTGGAAATTCTTAAAGCTACATGACTAGAATCACTTTATAATCTTAGAAACTGACAGTTACAGAATAACTTAAGTTTAATATTTAGGTCATATAAGTTCGGATTCATATTGTCTGAGCCTAAATACAAAACAAAAACCCTCATACAGCATGCGGGCTATAGCTTAGAAAACCTATTCACTCTGCCTAACTTCCAGTGGAGTGAACAGAGGGTCAGTAAGGCAGGGCAAGCACCAAAGCAGTGGTACTGATCCTCGAGTGGGCTATTTAACCCCAGGGAGGAGTGTCAGTGGCGCTGTTCAAGCCATTGCTGACCTGGAGGACAACTTGGAGTGCATTTGCTGTATGTCCTGGGAGGATGAGCAGCATCACAGAGCACACATGTAAGCAAAGGGCTGTGCACAGGCAGCAGAGTGAACTCACCTCCTTCAGAACCACAACGTGAACCAGAGAGATGCATTCAGGCAGGTCCCTCAGATAGGCAACATAGTAATCCAAGAAATTATTCTTGAAAACAAATACAAAAATGCATGGTAAGAACCTGAAAACAGGAATGATAACTTTTTTATGCATTCATATATGTCAAAAAGAAGCACTTTGCAGAGATTTGGCTTACTTATTCATTTAATATGTTCATTAATATGTTTTTGTTTTTTATTCATCTTTTTTAAAAAAAAATCTTTTTGGTTTTAAGGTAGATATCCCTATGGAGTTGGGAACCAAATCTCAATATTCCTACATTAATGAGAGAAGTGAAATGATAAACCAAGGCAGAGAAGAGGAATTACTTAAAAGTATTTTAAATTGCTTAATGACAAAATGTGTTTTGTTTTAAAGTTACTTTTTAAATTATTTTTTTTATTGTTGATATTATTACAGTTGTCTCCCATTCTGCCCCTCCTTTACCCACCTCCACCCAGCCTGCCCTACACCTGCCTCTGTCCCTAACCACACTGTGTTCATAGGCTATTTATGTATGTTCTTAGGCTAATCCCTTCACCTTCTTTCATCCAGTCTCCTAAAATTACTTTTAATTTCAGTCATCTACATCCAAATGAGGAACTTTGTCCAACCCACTTGATAGTGGCTAGACCAGTGTTTCTCAACTTTTTCCCACTAATTGCATGATCACCTATGCAATATACCTCCAGTCAGGAAAACAGTTCTCAGCTTCCAAAATTATATTCCCACAGAAATAACAATTCTCAGCCCAAGAAGGCATACCAAATACAAATGAGTACAAGTGAATGTGGGGGAAAAATCAAATCTATACAACTAGACAATTTGTAAACTTTGTATTATCACAATCCTTGATATATAGAGGTTGACTGCTGGCAAAATCTGGCTTGCAGACCAGTTTTAATTATCACACATAGTGTTTTTTAAGAAGAAAATTTCACACAAAATTCTGGAATTTCATCTGCTCTTAAAATATCAGATCTGGCAACTCGAGTCTTGTCCCCCCTGCATAATAATTGGATAAAGGTGACTAGCTATTTCTTGTAGCAAAGCATATGTGCTCCACTTAAATTCACTTCCCAACAGTCCATGTTGTATTAAACTCAGCTTACTTCTATTCATTTATATCACTGCCTAATTTTGTAGGCATTTGAGTTTGCAACTTCTAACCTGGATCATATTTAATTTGTAGAACCACATAGAAATTTGAAACTTAAGACCCTCTCCAAGTGAAAACAAAAAACATTCCAGACAAATAGCTGCCCATCACATTTTTTCAAATCTCTAAGGAATGAAATTGTAAGTGCAATTACATACTTATATACAAACCTTCACATATTTATTTTATGTGTATGGACTTATACGTGCATGCATATATTGATACATACATACATATATGTACATACACATGCGTGTTCAATGGCAGCAGTTGTAGTACAGTGGAAAGTGATAAATTGAAAGTGAGGAAACGGGTTCTAGTCACAGCTGGGTGGTATTAGCAAAGTCTTAAGTTCTCTGAACTTTATTATCTTTAGAATGAGGAGGTTAAAACAGATCTTAGCAGTTCCTTTAATTCTGAAATTCACTGATTTTATTTTATTTTTTATTATTTTTTTAATATATATTTTATTGATTTTGTACAGAGAGGAAGGGAGAGAGATAGAGAGTTAGAAACATCGATGAGAGAGAGTCATCAATCAGCTGCCTCTTGCACACCCCCTACTGGGGCTATGCCCGCAACCAAGGTACATGCCCTTGACCAGAATCGAACCTGGGACCCTTCAGTCCCCAAGCCAACGCTCTATCCTTTGAGCCAAACCGGTCTTGGCATGAAATTCACTGATTTTAGATGCTCTATTAAGAGAAGTAGACGAGGGATACACAGATGATATAATTCATATTTATAAAGAATTAAAAAAAGAACTTACCTCATCATTTGTTAATTTCAGGAATAAATCTCCAAGAACTCCTTGGCGTGGCCATTTCAGGACCCTTTCCTGTAGAGCATGAAGCAAATCTAGGTGCTGCTGGACAAGGTACCGTAAAGAGCCAGGGAAGAGGCTTGGAACAGAAGAGAGACAGGATCACACAAACCAGGTATGGAGAAGAAAAGATCCTATAAGAATATGTGCAGTAGGTCCCATTTTCCCAGTTACTCAAAATATTCTCAGTCACAGGTCTACGTTTAGGATTAAGAAATAAAAGTTTGACCCTAGTCAATTTGGTTTGATGGATACAGTGTCGACCTGAGGACTGCAGAGTTCCGGATTTGATTCTGGTCAAGGGCACACGCCAGGATTGCGGGCTTTCTCTCCAGTGTGGGGCCTGTAGGAGGCAGCTGATGAATGATTCTCTCTCATCATTGATGTTTCTGTCTTTCTCCCTCTCACTTCCTCTCTAAAAATCAATAAAAACATATTTTCAAAAAAAGAAAGAAAAATTTGTCTTTGTCGACCTGACAGCAGATATCCTCAGGATATAAAAAGACCTCTTTCCTGATTGCTCCTATACTGTTGTATATTGAATTATGTTACAAGGAATTCTTCCACTTCTCTCTGCCACCCCTCCACCTGCTGGGCCACCGGCCTCCACATATGCGAGGCCACCTGATCCAGAAGTTCAATAGGAGAAGCCTCCTGATCTGAGCTCTTAGGCTAGTGCAGTGGACTTGGAAGATCTAAGTAATTCCTGTCCAGAGCAGAGAGATTCGGAGGGTGGCCCAGAGACAGCTGGACTGGGAGAAGACCATAAAGCTGATGGAAGAAAGCACAACTGATTGAACTGAAAGAATGTAACGCTGCACCAGCAAGAGAGCTGGATGTGAGTTTCTCCCCACCAAGAGGCTACCAATGACTGTGGGGAATGTTGCTGGTGTGACACTGAAAGGTATTCGGGCCTGGCGATGAGATCTGACTATGGGATGGGTATCTATATAGATTATGTAATCTATCTTGTATTGGATTATCTTTTTCTTTTTCTCCTTTCCTGGTGCCTCGCTCAGACCTTCTCTGCTCTGTCTCATCTCAGTCTCTCCTCCTCTCTTTATCCCTCCCTCTCTGCTACGCTCCTCTTCTTTTGAGAACACTGCCCTCTGCTGAACTGTGGCCAGTGTACTTGCAGAGTTGGAGAGCTAGTAACTTGGTTGGAGTCCAGGATACCTCATGGACTGTCACTGGGATAACAATTGGGATTTCAAGGTGAGGCCAGAGAAGGCTAATGCTCCCATCAAATATCACGGAAACACTTAAGTTACATGAAGACCAATGACTTACAGTGGGTTCTGTACCAAATATTGAAAACAGGCCTTAAAAAAAGTTTTTTTTTTAATTTAATAAAGATATTTGAAATCGGGGAGTGATGTGGAAGAAGTGAGCCAAGAGATGAAGAACAGAGGAAGAAAGAAGGCAAAACATACTGACCCTACTTCACTGTTTTGTATAATCCAGACCTGACTTCCAGAAGCAACTTTTTCATAACAGAAAGTATTAAGTGCTCAACTTTATCTCTGTTCCTTAGTAGGAGTAAAATTATGTCAACATGAGTATTAGCATATTCCTTTGGAAGCCTCCAAAGTTACTTCAACTCTCACAGTCCAGTACTTAAATAATGAGGGAAATAAACTAAAATCAATCAAGGAAAATCCAATTATAGTTTCAAATTGATAACTTAGTTCTTGCTAGATTAGGTTTAATCTCCAAAATTTATAGAGAACTCATGCATCTTAACAAAAGGAAGATAAACAGTCCAATCAAAAAATAGCAAAGGACCTAGATAGACACTTTTCGAAAGAGGACACAGAAGGGCAAGAGACATATGAAAACATGTTCAAGGTCACTAATCATCCGAGAGATGCAAATTAAAACGACAATGAGGTACCATCTCACACCTATCAGAATGGCTATCATCAACAAATCAACAAAAGACAAGTGCTGGCGACAATGTGGAGAAAAAGGAACCCTCATGCACTGCTGGTGAGAATGCAAGGCTGGTATAACCACTGTGGAAAACAGTATGGACTTTCCTCAGAAAATTAAAAATTGAACTCCCATTTGACCCAGTAATCCCACTTCTAGGAATATATGCCAAGAAATCTGAAAGGTATTTGCACCCCTATGTTCATAGCATAATTTACAATAGCTAAGATTTGGAAATAGCCTAAGTGCCCATCAGCAGATGAGTGTATTAAAAACTGGTACATTTACACAATGGAATTTTATGCTGCTATAAAAAAGAAAGAACTCTTACCACTTGAAACAGCATGGATGGATCTGGAGAGCATTATGCTGAGCAAATAAGCCAATCAGAGAAAGATAAATATCATATGATCTTACTCATTTGTGGAATATAATGAACAACATAAACAAAAATAGATCCAGAGACAGAAGCATCAAATAGACCGTCCAATCTCAGAGGGAAGGCAAGATCGGGGCGGGGGATAAGAGATCAACCAAAGGACTTTTATTCACGCATATAAGCATAACCAGTGGACACAGACAGTAGAGGGGGTAAGGGCATATGCTGGGGGTGGGAGTGGCTGGGTGGAGTTCAGTGGGGGGAAAAGGAGACATATGTAATACTTGAAACAATAAGGAATTTAAATTAAAAAGAAAAATATGTGCCATCTGGTGATGACCTGCAGCATACAACTTGAGTTCTTGGTGGATGTGGCCCTGAAGTTCAGCTTGTAAGGCTAATTGGCAATCCTATGGAGCTGACTTTGCGGCCCCCCCCCCCCCCAAAAAAAAAAAGATGTTCATACAAGGCTGATCCTGAGGCCATGGCTCACTCTATCTGGATGAATCAGACCAGAAAAAGCCAAGAACCCCAACTTCTGTGATCCTCCAACAAATGGGCATCAGGCTTCTCTGCCCTCCCAGTGATGGGCAGGGATACCTTGAAACAGGCTAAAGAGGCTTTTGAGCCCAGTGCTTTTTCCTAGGGAAAACCTGGGGTTCTATTTTATAGGCTTGAGAAGACATGACAGCCTCAGGTTTGAGTGCCAGATGTAGTTTATGGTGTGTGTTATTTTCACACCCTGCTCACTTTCCCACAGGGGTAGAAAGTGCTGAAAGCTTAGAATTTTTATAGGAAATGTAGTTAATAATTTTTTTTTTCAGTTTTGCATGGGGAAAAGCACCTGTAGGGAAAAGGAATGCTTTCATTCTGTTGTGTATCTCACTCAGTCGATCTACTTAAAGTACACACGGAAGCTTCCGAAAAAGTTTAGAAAACCTGTTGCTGCATATTCTCTTTTCAAAAACTATTTCTGGAACTCTACAGGTCTCAGAATTACCAAAGTAGAAACAATAAACACTTACCTTAAATCTTAATCAATCTGAAAAGCAAAGGCAATGAATACATGGATACCTTCTCTCTTTGGAATTCCTCTTTCCATCTGACCCCTGGAATGTTGCCTTGATCTTCAGGATCAGAGAGATGTTAATGACATATTTTCTTTCTGACTCAAGCAGTTCCAGAGCCACAGTTTGTCTTTTAGCTTTAAAAACAAATCAAGGAAGGAATTGTTAACCACTTCTCCCCAAAACCCTATCAAATGTTAGCAGTACAAAGATGAAAGCAGTAGCATATGAAAAGATGCTCAATGGGACCAGTTTGGCTCAGTGGATAGAGCGTCGGCCTGTGGACTGAGAGGTCCCAGGTTCGATTCCAGTCAAGGGCATGTACCTTGGTTGTGGGCACATCCCCAGTAGGGGGTATGCAAAAGGCAGCTGATCGATGATTCTTTCTCATCAATGTTTCTAACTCTCTATCCCTCTCTCTTCCTCTCTGTAAAAAATCAATAAAATATATTAAAAAAGAAAAGAAAAGAAAAGATGCTCAACATTGCCCAGCTAGTGTGGCTAAGCAGTTGAGCTTTGACTCATGAACCAGGAGGTTATGGTTCATAGTGCAAGAAGATTTTTTTCTCTCTTTCCCCCTTCCTCCCTTAAAAAAGATCAATATTTCAAAATATATTTGTATTGATTTCAGAGAGGAAGGGAAAGGGAGAGACATCAATGATGAGAGAGAATTGGTTGCCTCCTGCAAGCCTCCTACTGAGAATCATGTGCCCTGAGTGGGTATCGAACTATGGCCTCCTGGTTCATGGTTGGATGCTCAACCCCTGAGCCACATTGACCAGGCAGTAAAAATATATATATATATTTTTTTTAAATGAGTGGATACCCAGAATCATGGTGGTAGTCCCAGCTGACCATTGTGACCTCTATAAGGCTTCAGGTAGTTCATCTGGAAATGAAACTATAATCTAGGACCTAGGTGGTCTCATAAGTCCAGTGAATCTAAATTACAAGGATTCTAGCCCTTAGGTCATCGTGTTCTTTAGAATTTCAGCCTGCTTTCCCCTTGGGGCTTACCAGCTAAAGAAGTTTCACATAAAATATTTTCGAAGGAACCATGTCTGCCCTGGCCAACTTCCTTGAGTTTATCTGGGTGGTCTTTTGTGACATATTCCTCGCCCCATTCTTTCCCGTCCTTCGGCTGCCTCCACACACCAGATGGCACATGGCCCTTCGACTGGATGTCAGCTGTGAGGCAAGGCTTGAGGTTTTCTTCTGTTTCTGGAGTTGTTGGGTTCATTCCTGAAAAATAACATTTGCCATCAAGATCTATTTTTTTATTGTATTTGTTAGTAATTCTTAAATATCATGCTCCTGTGTGGGCTGAAATATCAACTAAGGATTAAAAGTCTCCACAGTTGCAAAGCATCACCTCTCTTTGGTTCTGGTCTATATAGCATCTATTCTTTATACATACTCTCTACTAAATAAGAAGTTTTTAAAAATAAATTTCTAAAATAATATTAATTTGTATAGTATGTATCGACTCATATTGCTTCCTTTCAGGTGAGCACATCAAGTACCAGTAGCACTAGGAAGAAAGTACAGAAAGAGACGGAAAGGGCCAAAGGCAGTGTCAGCTTTTGGAACTTGTCCCCCTTGGCCCTGATGATGGTAAGTTGCAAAAAGAAAGGAATAGTGAGTGAAGCAAGATTAAATAAGTTATAACATTTGGGTGAATTGTGTATTAAGTAAATAACTTTTTGATTAAGTAAACCAGTGATTTTCAACCAGTGTGCCATAAAAATTTTAAAAACATGCAGTACCTCTTTTCCATCAAATGGTTAAATAAATAAAAAATTATAATATTCAATCTGTGTGAATGAATAAAATTAGATCTACTTTTCGTTAGGCAAAAATATTTTTTTGGTGTACAGCAGAATTTTAATAATTAGTTTGTGTGTGCCATAAGATGAAAAAGGTTGAAAATCGCTGAAGTAAACTATAAAATGTGTGTTCATATGCAACTATGTCATGCTACATACAGCTGTGAGTTCTCAGTTAATGTTAATTCATCATTACTGTAATTGAAAGGAGTCAGAAAGAATCAAGAATACTGGTTTGATCTTAAAACTTCCCCAGCCCTTCTCTGTTTTGGGTTTGAGTCACTGACCTATTCCAGCACACATCTCAGAATCTTAATAACCAGTATTCTTTGTTTTGCCTGAGTTCTTTCATGCCTGGTTTGGCACTGAGGGAGTAGAAGCAGTAATAGCAAGGAAGGTGAAAAAAGGGAAAAGAAGGAATTGCTAGAAGGAAAAAAGAAGATCCACTTACCAGGACCCATCATTCCCTTCACATTACTATCTCCTATATGCATGGATCTGGACTCTTGAGCTGCAGAGAAAGGAAAGCCTTCACTCAGTATTCATTCCACTAACATGGACTGGGCACCTTCTGTGAGCTAGCTAGGCTCTCGGGACAGACTCACAGAATTCACTGTTTTCTGGGGGAGACTACAGGGGGAAAATACAATGTAATATGACAAGTGCTATTATCCCATTTGTAAAAAGATGTAATAGTAGTACTTTCCTCATAGCCTACCATAAGTATTAAATTAGTTAGTATTTGTAAGCTCTTAAAGTGTTACCTGACACACAGTACGAGCTAAATTATTGTTTAACTGATGGAGAAGAGGGTAATGATGAGAGGAGTCAGAATGGTGCGGTTAAAATATGTCAGACCCTGTCATTCCTCTGCTTAGCCCTCTGATGGCTTCCCATTTTAGTGCAAAAGCCAAAGACCATATAATGATGTAAGACCCTAAAATGTCTGCCCTTCTTCCCTGCCTGCTGTTCCCTTTCTTTTAAAAAGAAAAAAAAAACGCATCTCCTATTGGTAGTGGCTTTTCCCTTTCTTTCCCTCAGTATCATAGCTAACTTCCTTCAGGTCTTTTCCTGGTAGACACTATAAAATTACACCTATGTGTATTTTCTCCTCGTCACTATCTCACATACTATATATTTTATTTATCTTGTTCATTGTCTGTTTCCTTCAGAACCAAGACTCCATGAGGACAGGAATTTTTGTTGTTTTGTTCAATATTATATCCCATCATTTAAATCAATGCCTGGGGTGGATGAACGGATGGATGAATGGATAGAAGAAAGGGTGAGTAGGTAGAACCACCAACTTGACTGCAACCTCAGCTTAGCTAAGCCAGAGGCATCCAGCTAAGCTGTATATGTATTCCCGACTCAGAGAAACTGTGACATAATGAATGTTTGCTATTTTAAGCTACTATTGATAATTTTGGGGGTACTCTATTTTAGCTAACAGTGGATAAGTCAATCCTTTCTGAAAGTTTAGTCCTTTGATCTTGAGTTTTAACATAACCTACTACCAATAGTATACATAATATCTTATTATGACACATTATCCCCAAATTTTTGCAGCAACTTGGTAGGATAAACTATGTTATATAAACCATGCCTACTCAAAGTGAAGGAAGAAGGAGTTGCCATTAAATAGCTCATTTAAATCCATCTGAACACTTTACAAATATAATTTCTAATAATTTCTCTTGTAAAAATGTTCAGTGGCATTGGTCTGACCTCTACTTTGCAAGCCCCTCCTTAAATCTCCCCTGACAAGACCACCTTTTATGTCATGCTCTTCATGACGTAGAGCAAAGAATACAGACCCACCTACCATAAACCCACATCCCAAATGGATCAAGTGAGTTTTCCCAGGCTGCACCTATCCATCTCTAAAATAACTGCTCAAGTGGATAAAAACATTTTTAAAAAGCAAATCTGTACTTTAAAGTTAATACTGATTAAAAGCCATTTGATTTAGATTTTTAAATTCAGTTATTCAAAACACGTATATTGCCATTGAATATATGAGCCAAATTGTTCATTAAGCCAATTGAGGACTTTACAATTGGTTCAGAAGTCACTGAGCCTCTTTTGGAGACTTTCTACATAAGATGAAAAGAAAAGAAGAAAATTCACCTAAACATGGTTAATATACACATTCATTCTCCTGTAGGTGCTTTGTTAGATTTTGTTGAGGATACAAAGAAGTAGCAATCCTTTTTTGTTTTGTTCCTTTTCCTGAGTCACTTATGGATGTCTGCAGACATCCCTTGGAATGCCATTTTCTTCAGTACTGCCCAACTACAATTTCTATTATCGGTTCTAACATCTCTCAGAACAGGGATGTGGCTGGTGACTTTCAGCCCACAGACAGCACCAGCTCTGGTTTTCCAGAAAAAGAGAAGTACGAAGTTAGATTGCATGAGGGCTCTGCCTGCAGTTAGGGTAGATATGTCTTTCTATAATAATGTCAGTGAAGCGTTTGCTGAAAAAGAAACAGAACACACAATTTTATCCATGCTAAGAATATAGCTACTTTAAAATGTCTATGCAGAGAGACAAGGATTGAGAAAGTAATATCGGAAATAAAAATAGAGTAATTTTTTAAACATTTTCCTTTTTATGGTTGTACAACAAATTATCTCTGGTCCATTTGAAATTCAAAACACCCAGTATTTAAAAAAAGAAAAAAAGAAAAAGAAAAGATTTTTAAATTAGGCAGATTCTCCTGATTTTTCAGATCCTCTGCATTCTTTTTAATTCCAGATGCAAGAGGGAAAATTCTGAGCAATACACCATCTTCCTCTAACAGGGATGAAGGCTTTATGCCCACTTAAGCCTTCAGAATCAAGGGGGGGAAATCATGGCTAATTCAGTATGATTTGTGAGCTGTACCTTTTTCATAGGCCTGCGAAGGCATAAGGTTTGTGAAGTCTTCACTTGGAAGAACAGGCTCAGGGATATTGATTGAACGGAAAGGACTTCCTTGTGCTTGAGCAGGCCCAGCCTGTGAGCCATGCTCTTCTTTCTGAGTTTTCCTAGGAAAGGGAAACAAAAGATCTTAATACCTGGTGGGTTAGGAAGAGATTCAGTTCAGAATAATTCAAAAAATTTCTAAGTTATTGTGTTGAACCATATAAAATTGCTGTTTTAGTAAATTAACAATGATCAAACACTGACAATTTAATTCATCGCCAAAGTTGAAAAAAAATTAAGTATCTATAAATCACCTTCTAATTGTAATATCTACTGTACATTCTTTTTAAAAAATATATATTTTATTGATTTTATACAGAGAGGAAGAGAGAGGGATAGAGAGTTAGAAACATTGATGATAGAGAAACATCGATCAGCTGCCTCTTGCACATCCCCTTCTGAGGATATGCCCGAAACCAAGGTACATGCCCTTGACCGGAATTGAACCTGGGACCTTTCAGACTGCAGGCTGATGTTCTAGCCACTGAGCCAAACCTGTTTCAGCTGTAATATCTACATTCTTATTTCTCTGTTACTGGCTTTCCTATCATCAGGGTCTTTTATAGAGTTTGCAGTGGTGACAATTTGCTTAGGATGATTTATATTAATTTCACAAAGAAACACAATGGTACCAGAAGATAGAAGTCTTCAGCTGAAAACAATTAGCCATTCTCCAAAGCCACACAAATGTTAATTGCCATATTTCTAGTATAAAAGCATCCTATCTAATAAAGAGGGAATATGCTAATTGACCCTCACGCTGTCACAAAGATGGCAATATCCATAGCCAATAAGGAGGGAATATGCTAATTGACTGTCATGCCCTCAAAGATGGCAGCACCCATAACCACAAGATGGTGGTGCCCAGTCCTCTCAGCCCTGCTGGGGCGGCAGGCACATGACAAGGCCAGGCCCACATGCTTCCAGAGTCCTCCAGTCCCCTCAGCCCCCCAGCTGCCCAAGACTGGCCCCAGGCACAGGCAAGCTTCAGATGACAGCTGCCCAGCTGCCCAGGGCAGGCCCAAGGTGCAGGCAAGCCTCGGATAATGGCTGCTCAGCCACCCAGGGCTGCTTGATGTTAAGGTAACCAGGGCCGACTGAGGCTTGCACTGCTGGCAGTGGCAGCAGCAGAGGTGTGATGGGGTGTTGCCTTCCCCTGATCACCAGGTTGCCTCTCGCCAGTGAGGGCTCCTGGACTGTGTGAGGGGGCAGGCTGAGCTGAGGGACCCTCCCTCCAGTGCATTAATTTTCATGCACTGGGCCTCTAGTATAAAAATAAAGATTATGTATGTTTAGTGGTGAAACTATGTGAGTCAACATGGTTGAGGTATATATATATATATAAAAGGCTAATATGTAAAGTGTCCCCATGGGAGTTTGACCTGGAGACCAGGAGTTCTATCACTTGCTATGATGTGTGCTGACCACCAGGGGACAGCACAGAATGAAGGAAGGCCCCTGCTAGCAGCCAGGGAAAGGAGGCTCTGGCCAGCATCTGGCAGCCAGCAGTTGGGGAAAGGAGACCCCCAGCCAGCAGCCAGAAGGCCCTGATCAGCTCTGAACGCCCCAAGGGACCCAATCTGTGCATGAATTTCATGCATCAGGCCTCTAGTTGTTTATAAACTTATTTTCCATGGTAGAAGTAAAATAATAACATTAGAGAAATTTCAGAAAACTAAGAAAATCACTGGTGACCCTCCCATTCTAACACAACAACCATTATTTTAAAATATGTCTTGCCTGGCCTGCATGGCTCAGTGGTTGAGTGTTGAACTATGAACCAGGAGGTCATAGTTTGAGTCTTAGTCAAGGCCCATGCCTGGGTTGTGGGTTCAAGCCCAAGTGTGGGGTATGCAGCAGGCAGCCAATCAGTGATTCCTATCATTGATGTTTCTCTCTCATGCTCCCTCTCCCTTCCTCTCTGAAATCATTTTTTTAAAAATAAAATGTCTTTTTAGCTGTAATTTTACATGGTTTTACAGTTGAAATCGAATTCTACATGCCATTTTATACCATTTTCATTTTACTGCCTATTAAATGCATTTCCATTTAATAGTTACCATCAATTCTTAGTATTAACTAACTTCTATGGCACTCTAATCTCTATCCGATGCTGACCCATAGAGCCCAGTGGCCAGCTAGCTCTATACTGGCAGTGAGGAAGGTGTTCTCCGTGTCTCTGTAAAGTCATTACTTATGGCTTTGCCTTTGGTTAATTTTTTTGTAGAAAACTCACTTGGCTTTCACTTTTCGAGATTCTCTTCGCTTCTCCTGTTGAAGCTGTTCAATTTTCTGTTGCATCTCTTCTTGTTTGGAAGTGATTGCCTGGATCATTGACATGGCATTGCTCAGTTCTTCCTAAAAATTAAGCATCAATATGTATTTAATCTGGCACATGGGGTAAAAATATATAATACAGTATCTAGTATACAGTAAACTTTTAATTCATTTTTGTTGAATGAATGAATCAATCAGTGGATGAGAGGTGAAAATTTTACTTCTGTGGCCTAACTTTAACACAAAGATCCAAGAAAGAAAAGCATAAAATAGTTATTTTTCTGTGATAATTAATGAATGGGATAGTGGGAATATTCTTCTGTTTGGCTGCTATGTGAAAAGGTAATTTTTCTTCTTGTGTAACCAAGACCAAGGATCTTTCTTCAGCAGTGAAATAGAAGAGGGGGCCTACTTTGAAATAGTTTAATGAATTCTTCATCTCAGTAACTTTTTCTTCCATGGAACATTTGCAGGTCTTAACCTTTTCTTCCACAGCATATTCTCCATGTTGAATTCTTGACAGTTCTTGCATTGCTTCTGTGAAACCAGTTTTGAGTTCAGAGGCCAGGGCCTGCAACTAAATAATACACGAAGAGTGAATTCAATTTACTATAAAGAATTTTAAATAGCACCATTGTCCTTTTGAATTTTTCTTTCTGTTTGCGAAACCAGGCTCTTGAGAATTTACAGACATCATTTCCTATTACACTGAAGTTTGGGCAACCTAAGACAACCGTGGCCCCATGCATCTAGGGCAAGGATGGGGAACATCTGGCCCGCAAGCCATATAAGGCCTGTGAAATCATTTTGTCTGGCCCTACCAAGGCATTAGGAGTGAGTTAATTAAATGTTTGGCCAAATATAGCAGGCTAGTTTATAAGTTGATAATTTTGTATACTCCAAAAATTATGTTACAAATATCCAAATGACCCTTGACAGTAAAAAAGGTTCCCCACCCCTGATCTAGGGAAAAGAAGGCCCTTTTTATAAAGCACATTCTCCTGCTTGATAGTGACAAGAAAGCAAGCAAATAATTAATTTTACAAGTGCTCCTATAAGCTACTTACGTATTCTAACACCTTTGATTAAAAAGAGATTTACTTAAGCCTAGCCAGTATGGTTGAGCGTCGACCTGTGAACCATGAGGTTGCTTTTCAGTTCCTGGTCAGGGCACATGCCCTGGTTGAGTGCTGAATCCCCAGTGTGGGGCATGAAGGAGGCAGCCAATTAATGATTCTCTCTCATCACTGATGCTTCTATCTCTCCCTCTCTGAAATCAATTTAAAGAAAAAAATTTTTTTAAATAAGATTTACTTGAAAACAACATAAGCACATGAAAAGCAGTCTTGGTTCTGTAACTCTTCAATTCCATGAGAAAAAGGATGGGTATATTATCCCTGGTTGTTAGGAGAAGATGAAGAAATTTAGTTATTTCACTTAAAAATTAAATGATAAAAAGGATGATAACTAAATGTATCTGAGAATTTCTTTAAAATCAACTTTTTTAATTATTGAGTGATAGCATGAAAAAAGAAACAATAGTATTTTCACAGGCAGATTGCTTTAGTTTATAAGGAAGGCACAGAAGTATTTACAATGGTAGGAGCTCAGCATGTTGTTGATAGTGATATAATTCATCTTCTGCAGTCAAATCTGGTCATGTTGCAGTGCACACATTGGACTTCTATTGTCAACTTCCACACATAAAAAGGTGATTAATATTGGAGTCAGATAAAGTACAAATCTTAGCACTTTTCCACAAGTACTAGGATCTTAGACAAGTTGTTTTAACCTCTTTGTAGCAGTTTATAACCACAAAATAGCCATAACAACACCTATTTCACAAGGCTGTTTTGATACTAAAATAAATAAATGTAGATAAGGTGCCTGTCCTAGTACATGCTAGATACATTGAAGATGTTTAAGAAATTTTAATTCTCCACTTTTAAGTGGCAAATCAGGAAGTTAAGCACAGATAAGATCAGGCGTGTCCAGGAGGGTATGAACCTGGAAAGTATTATGCTAAGTAAAATAAGCCATGCTCAAAATAAGCCATGCTCAAAATAGAAGCATGGAAAAGACTGTCGAATCTCAGAGGGAAGGCAGGCATGGGTGGTGAGTGGGAAGAGATCAACCCAAGAACTTGTATGCATATATGCATAAACCATGGACACACACAATAGTGTGGTAAAGGCCTGGGGTGGGAGGTGAGAGCGGGTTAGAAGGGGTCAGTGGGGGAAAAAGGAGGATATATATATATATATATATATATATATATATATATATATATATATTACTTTAAATAATAAAGATTTTTTTTTAAGTTAAGCACAAACAAATGTGGAGAAAATGGAGCACTTCTAAAGTTGAGTTTTATTTATTGGACAAATGAAAAAGCATTTCCAAAGTTCCTGATGAAGAAACACAATTGAGATTTTTTTTTTCAGTGATAAAATCTGCTTATTTGTATTTCAAACAATGTAACTAAAACTTGATGTAAATTCCTCCTTTTTTGGCTTAATGTCATTTATTCAGTATGAAATCTTTATATGTTCCTTGTGTTAAGAGTAAATGTACATTAGATCTTGGTTAAAAAATAAGTATTTCCAACAGACAATAACTTAATAACAATAAGATAACATTACTTTCTTGACAAATATAATCTTATACTCTGCTAAGTAGAGGAACTCTTAGCTTCAGATCTCTCTGTAAAACACTTTTTTTAGATTTGTTCTATAATTAAGATATCCACCAACTATTCTATTTTTAAAACATAGTTTTTATTGATTTCAGAGAGGAAGGGAGAGGGAGAGAGATAGGAACATCAGTAATGAGAGAGAATCATTGATTAGTTGCCTACTGCATGCCCCCTGCTTGGGATTGAGCCTGTAACCCGGGCATGTGCCCTTGACTGGAATTGAACCCAGGACTCTTCAGTCTGCAGACCAACGCTCTATCCACTGAGCCAAACCAGCTAGGGCAAGTATTTTAATTTTAAAGGTACCTTAACAAAATTCCTTCAAATGTGTATTTCTTAAACATTTTGAAATTTGGTTGTCTAAATAGTTTCAACTTGCACTTCCCACTATAAGTTATAAACACACCACTTTTTTAAAATACAGCATTTTGTGGTTCACTGTGATTCACAAAGGTTTATCTTGAGGGCTGGGAGTAGGAAGAAATGAAAGGAACCAAAGATCATACAGACCTGTCAAATGTTTAGGAAACAACATGAGTAATCTGCTTTTTATTCCAATCATTTAAGTTTTATTTAATCTTTGTGATGGATTTTAGCACTTGTCCTAATGCAGTCATCATGATGGATTAAATCTCCAGATAAACTACTTTTGATCTGGTAATTGTCCTTGTGTAAATTCATCTGTGAGCAAAATAAGCCAAATCCACAGCAATATAGTATCAAAGCAAAATTTATGCACGTTTTAAAACTGAAGGGAGGAAACCTAGCATTCATGCAAGTGCTCTGAAATTCACTCAGGTTTCCTGCTTGAAAAACGGAGGGAACCAGTACCTGACAGAAATAGGTTTCATGATCACTGCTCTCATAGGTGTTTCCCCAGGAGCCGAATGGCAACAGAAGGATTTTTCCTCACTTGTAGAACCCCAGCTCTTGAAAAATTAAAAACTATCAAAATGTTTCTCTAACAGGTTATATAGGGACTTTGGGAATTTTGAAACCATTTTGAGCTGTGAGCCCTCTTCCTTCACATATGTTACTTTGAGCCCATTGGGTACCTGCCATTGAAACAGCTCTACTGCTTTAGATATAGCTTCACAGGCAGTGGCCAGCCAGGGAGCGATGCCATAGTGAGCGTAGTCGCACCCCTGACACAGCCTGTCCCTTTTAGGATGCTTGGGCCATGGTATCTTTAGTTGCTACAGGCTGGTTTTCCAGGGCCAACTGGCCATTCAGTTGTGAATAAAAAATACTCTGAAGACATGGACTTACATCTTTTACTCTGCTCTCTATCCCGCTTTCTTGTTTGATAGCCCACAACCCACCCCAAGGTTCAGAAACAGGTGTCTATGATACCTTGTTCTCCAGCGAGTTGAACACGTTGCTCATCTCGTTGACTTTCTCATGAAGCTGCTCTAGAGAGGTTATGATCCCTCCATCCTGCCGCTGAAGGCGGGCTCCCACTGGAGTCAGGTTCAGGGAAGGCTTGTACTTCGAAGCCTAGGGTACCACAGAGGGCATCTTAGGCTTAAAGAAATAGGGGAGAGGAGTCGGAATTCTTTCTATTTCCTGCTCTTAATTTCTGTTTCTCAGTTTTTTGTTTTGTTTTTGTTTTTTGTTGTTGTTTTTTTGCTTAACTCTTGCTGTTGTGTGTGTGTTTTAACTCTTCCTAAGATGAATTTTAGTCAACATCTTCCAATTTCCTTTCTACTAAAGATCCCTCAAGCTAAATTGTCATAAAGGATGCACATTGTTCCAGGTTGTTTTTTACACTGACTTCCTTTCTGTCTCATTATCAAGCTCAGAAAGCTACGAGGAGGCAAATGAAAGGGACTGTGCCTGTGCCTTGAGAACCCTGAAAACTCAGGAATGTCAACATTTGACAAACTTCTTCAAGACATGCCAAATTCCTACACTGCCTGACTAAATGCTCTATAAGAACAAAAGCCAACATGTTTTGAAATAACACATGATGGCAAGGATGCCAAGCTAATTGTTTTGGCTTCCCCTTAACCAGGATTGCTACAAAAGAAACATGGTCTTTCTGCCAGCGTCTCGCTCCCTAATTTTAGGCTTCTTTATTGATCCCCAGAAATGCAATGATTTAAAACACAAAGTGGGGCCCGGCCAGCATGGCCTAGTGGTAGAGCATTGAGCTATGAACCAGGAGGTCACAGTCTGATTCCTGGTCAGGGCACATGCCTGGGTTACAGGCTTAATCCCCAATGTGGGGTGTGCAGGAAGCAGCCGATAAATGATTCTCACGTTTATGTTTCTCTCTCTCTCTCCCTTTCCCTCTCTGAAATCAATATAAATATATTTTAAAAAGAACAAAACACTAAGTGAGGAACAAGTAAAAAGTAAATTTCCTACTATGATCTTCTCAGGCTCATCTGAATGTCAATTTTTCATAATAAAAAACATTCTTTTTAAAGTAAATTTCCCAAATCTCTATACTCCCTACAGAAGTTAACCCTTAAAATCATTACAGGGAACTGTTGAAACTGATAGGAAACCTGGTAAACCAAAATTGATCTTACTGATCCCTGGGTGCCTAATAGAGTTAACTTCTCTAGGGTTAAAAGACATTCCTCAAAGGTAAAAAGAGACTGAGACTCAAACAGGACTTATAAATCCTATTAAACTTTCAATGGCAGCTTAAATAATAAAACCTATTATAGTAGGACTGGTTCCCATAGTTTTTCAATTGGAGGTTCTTTTGGCACATAATTCATTTTCTTAAATTATTTTCATTACAGAAAAAAAAATAAAATAAAAGAATCACCCCAAATCTCATTACTTCAATATAACCATTCATGCACGTTTAGGCATATTTCCTTCTGTTTTGTTCAATGCAATTGACTGCAGGTATTTATATGGTTGAAATCACACTACAGATATATTTTGATTCTGCCCACTTCTTTTTGCTTAACATTCTTATAAATCCTTTCCAATATCCTTCATTGTTGAATGTCTATTTTTAATGACTGCATACTATTCCATCCTATGGTTATGCCAGAATTTAGCTACCCATTTACCCTTGTTGGATATTTATGTTGTTTGTAATTTTTCAATATTTTAATATGCGTTTTATTTAAAGCTTTGTGTATGTTTTAGATAGTTTCTTTATGATAAATTTATAAATATAAATTTACTATAAGTCAAAGGATGTTAGGTCATATTTGACCCAAAGGGAAATTTAATTTGGAAAGAGATAGTACATTCAATTAATTAATACACATACAAAATATATTTGACCAGAGGGTTTGAAAAGCTATAATATTGTGGTTGTATATCCTTGGAAACATTCTGTATCATGTGTAATATCCTAAATTAGTATATTTAGAAAAAACATGTCTCAAACAAGATACTAAATGGAGGAAGCTTCAGGCTGTAAGTGAGCCAGAAACATTCCTAAGGCTGTAAGTGAGCCAGAAACATTTTGAAGTTCAAATCATTAGTATGATAGTTACACTAGGACTAAATTGTGCAGTTAAAACATCTGTTGCCTTAACTGTGGGACCACCCCCACACTTCTCATGTTAATATAATCATAATTTTAAAATCCATATGTAAAATGATGTAATCAAGAGTGAAACAACACAATATGACTCTGAAAAAGAGATAGGGGTGGATTTGGGGAGAGCTACATACAGTGGACAAAGGATGAAAGGAAAGGAAATAGATCTGAGTTCAAATAAAAAGAAATATACTACGCTAAGGAGCTGTCAGTGTATCCACATTAACTCATCTGACCTGGCAGTAATTCTGCCTGGAATGAACTGGGAGATAGTAGTGCACATTCTGTGACTTGATTTGGGTCTCTGTATCTCTTCCTCTTATCAAGGAGGTCAAGTCCTGCCAAAAAACAGAGTCAACTATATAACCATTTTAACATTTTTACTCCATTTTAACTAATAACTTTCATTGAAGTTTCTGCCAATTTATGCACACTTATCAAAACTAAATATTATGGGGGGAAAACAAAACTAAATATTATGGGGGGAAAACAAAACTAAATATTATAGTCTTAGCTGGTTTGGCTCAGTGGATAGAGTGTTGACCTGAAGACTGAAGGGTTCTGGATTCATTTGCAGTCAAGGGCACATGCCAAGTTGTGGGCTCAATCCCCAATAGGAGGTGTGCAGGAGACAGCCAATCAATGATTCTCTCTCGTCGATGTTTCTATCTATCCCTCTCCCTTCCTCTCTGAAATCAATAAAAATATATTATTTTAAAATATTATTAATTATTTTATTATTTGCTAATTAGGTAGTAAAATAATAATACTCCTTGTTTTAATCACTGTTTCTTTGAGCTTCAACCTATTCTGGGTGCCTAATAGAGTTAACTTCTCTAGGGTTAAAAGACATTCCTCAAAGGTAAAAAGAGACTGAGACTCAAACAGGACTTATAAATCCTATTAAACTTTCAATGGCAGCTTAAATAATAAAACCTATTATAGTAGGACTGGTTCCCATAGTTTTTCAATTGGAGGTTCTTTTGGCACATAATTCATTTTCTTAAATTATTTTCATTATAATTTAAGCTAATTATAAATTAAGCTATTTATAATTTTACCTTGGTAAATTTTCTATTTCCTTTGCCTATTTCTATTTCCTTTTCCTGTATTCTAATGAGGTCTCAGAAGTTTTCTTTTTTATTGATTTCTATGAATATAATTATTATAAAGGGTTAATAGTAGGGATTTTTCCAATATTTTTATTTGCCTTTGAATTTTTTAAAAATATATTTATGTTGGAAAAAATTGTAGTTGTGATATGGATAAATGAACTCTAACCCTTTCCATTGTGATTTCTTCTAGTACTTTTTCATTTAAATATTTCACATCCAAAGACAAATATTCACTATGCTAAACTTTTATGGTTTTATTTTTTATATTTAACCCATTAAACACTTTAGAGTTTATTTTGACTAGGGTATGGAGTGAGGATCTATTCTTTTTTCCATAGAACCAAACAATTACCATTTGGTACCAAACTGAATGACTGCATTAGACCTCTTGGCTCCAAGCAATATACACATTTTTCAGGTATTCATTCATTCAACTATTATTTATTGAATATATTTTATATTCCAGGTGCTGTACTTAATGCCAAGAATACAACAGAAATCAAAGTGTACTAAATCCCTGCCCTTGGAGCTTACATTCTAGAAGGAGATAGACAATTAAAAAACAAAAGTAAACAAGTTAATATTTACTATAATGTAAGAATGGAGGGGTCTATCAGAAAATTAAATAAGAAGATAAAGTGGTTGAAATGCCATATTGTGCTTCAAATTTCACATTTCGCTCTCCCATTTTAGTGTAGATTGTATTCTGTTACAGGTAACCTTGCCCTGCTTCCCTCCTTCCTCTTCCTCTTCTTCTTTCTTAACTTCTCCGTCTTCTCTGGGTTAAATGTTGCTTGGAGTAAAACAAATTGGGGCTTAGAACGTGTTCTTTTAAAACAAGAATGGGGTTATAATCACAGCATCATAGATGTCATATAGACCAACTTCACTTCCACTGCTTCATTTGTTCCACTGTGAACAGATGCACTTGGATTTGTGATACAATAAGAGAATGAGGCCAACCCCCAGCTATATTTAGCCAACATTCAGGGAGTGACCTACATAGAGTTTATGATATACTTTAAATCATACCTGGGTTTAAAGAGATACTCACATTCATTCAAATACCATACACAGGTCAGATATTAACAGAGGGAGGTGGGCAGGGAAGGTTTTGGACAAGTGAGGCATCAAATCAGCATTGAATGAAGGCTCATTTCCAGGCCTTTGTTCAAGCTAGTCCCTCTGCCTAAAATATCCTTCCCCATATCCACTTACCAAATTATAAACTTGTCCTTGAATGCCCGGTTTACATCCTTCAGTCAGTATTAACTTATCCTTCCCCCATATCTCATAGAATTTTACCAATGCTTCTGTTGTAATCCTTCCAACAGTCTATCTTGTATGTACTTACCAGGACACTTAAAAATCAGTGGGAATGGCTCTAGCCAGTTTGGCTCAGTGGATAGTGTGTCAGCCTGCAGACCAAAGAGTCTCAAGGTTTGATTCCAGTCAAAGTACATCCTCAGTTGTAGGCTTCTCCTCAGCCTGGGCATGGAGGAGAGGTGGGGGAGTGCAGGAGGCAACCAATTGATGTGTTTCTCTCACATGGATATTTCTCTTTGTCTTTCCCTCTCTTCCACTCTCTCTAAAAAAACCAATGGAAAAATATCCTCAGGTGAGGATTTTTAAAAAACCTCTGAGAATGTCTGCTCCATCTGTCTTATCTCCCATTAGGCCAAGCAGTAGACTTTGCACATCGTAACTATAGTCTATATATATAAAAGCCTAAGGGACTGTCCAACTGGTAGCTATGACGTGCACTGACCACCAGGGGCCAGACGCCCAATGCAAGAGCTGCCGAGCTGCGGTGACTTGGCAGCTGCGGTTCTCGGGTGACACATCCTAACCAGAGAGGAGGGAGCCTGATTCTGAGGTGCATCACTTGAGAACCGCCCTCTCGAAATCCGGGACCCCTCCAAAACCCCTCCTGAGGTGTCAGAGAGCCAGTTTCAGCCCAATCCCTGCAGGCCAGGCTGAGGGACCCCACCAGTGCGCAGGTTTCCCTAGCCCACGCTGCTTTTACATTACAAATTATGTCAGAATAAACTTCTATATTTTTTAAGGACAGAAATTTACTTTAAATTTACAAAAGCCAAATAAATGCTATTCAGATAACCAAATAGCCCGATGTGACCCCGATGGCAATTATATTACAAAATGTTTTCCACTTTTATCTTCCTTGTAAATTAAATTATCACCATTGTTTAAATGACCTTAAATTTTTTTCTATTACTATATCTTAGCATTTGCAATATTAATACCTCTTTGATTCTCAATTCTCCCTGCTAAAATAAGAAGCTAAGAAAAATAGATCTTGCTCTCTCTTCCTCTCTGATAAAAATGTTATTGCACAGTGTTCTGGGCATGGTGATGATGGCAGCAGGCAAGCAAAGCAGAGGATGTGGGAGTGGTGGTGCTGTATTTTATAAGCTGGGTTAAGTTGTCCTTTAATAATCAGTTTTCTCAAAAGTGCAGTGGGAATGGTGCTCTCTACCCTGCCTGTCTAAATACAGTGAGCTTGTTAAGTGAACAAATATGATAATATATGTGGAAGCATTTGTGAGCACTAAAAGAAACTATACAGACAAGATGGTCATTAGTATAACACACAGGACTATTCGAAACAATCTATTTGTTTTACCTGGTAAATTTGTGTGGAAGGATTATTCATCGGCATATGTTCATTCTCTCCTGTAGGGAGAAAGAGCTTTGTTGAATCAACACTACTCATTCTGTCCCCGTCCTCTTCAGACACATGCAGGGAATAAGGGGGCTTATAGGACCCTAAATCTGTGCCTGCAAGACAATGGTTCAATAAGAACAAAGCATGAAATTGTATAGGTTACTTTATATTTACATCCTAATGACCAGATCAGACCGATCTGGTAAAACTCCTGTAGTAGAAAACCATGTTGTACTTGCATGAGGATGTTCTCAACCAAGCCGGGATGATTAAAAATCATTAATTACCAGAAGTGATTTCCCATGAAGGGTCTCACTTGTGTTCTTGGTGCTGACTGCAGGGTAACTGAGGGGTTAGCTCTACAGTCAGGAAGACTGCTGGTCACCAGGCACCTTTCCAGTTGTCACTCTATTGCTCTTGGGAGGCCAGTGTAAAATATCCTGCCTTTTCCTGCCTTTGATCCTTACAAAACTTCTGTACTCTGCCTTTCTGTCACTGTGCAGACCAGCTAAGTGACCCTTGCTGTTCTCCTAGGCAAGAGGGTTGATAGAAGGGAATTGCTGAAGGAAAAGGTCTGGGAAGGATGGAGGCAGAAAGAAAATAGTCTTGGCAACACTAGAGACTGAAACACAGGTCAAACACAAAGGATGTAAATAGGTTATAAAAACCATTTACAACCAAGGGAGAAAAGATATTAGCCTAGAATAATATACCTTTCAGAATCACATTGGCTGGCCGTGAAGATGAGGCAATTCATGTAAAATATGCAGCTCCTTGCCCATCCATTTAACTACGTCTCCATTGTGTCACATTTTATGAATCAAGCACTTTATACATGCAAACTCTAGTTGCAAACATTCGGTTATGTGAATGTGTATATTCTTCTCCTAAGACTTGCTGGTACAGGAAATCCTTTTTAGAGGAACAGCCACAGTATGTAAGTTCATAAGTAATACATAGCCTCAGCCCAGAACTTATGCATACAGAGGGCTGTCCCTATAAAATCCAGATGGTTTGAGATTATCAAAATGCCCAAAATAAGCCCAAGAAAAGATTCCTTAGCCCATTTATGTCTCAACAGCCTAGTATCATGGCAAGAACCAGAACTTGGGAACAGACCCGTCTCCCAGATTGAACTTTGACATTTTGTGATTATAGCCTGAATTCTCTAGGACTGTTTTCTAATTTGAAAACAGAACCTGTTTCTGTATTGCTGATTCTGTGTGGTAAGATTGAAAGAGAAGGCCTTGTATATTTAGGCTAGCATACGAGGTGTTAGATGTCTATTAGTTGAATGTGTATCTTGGCAGGTTATTCTGAGGCAGTTGTAAATTTATTGCTAAGAAAAATTAGATAACTGTTCAGACAAAAGTATATGAATAGCATTTTCTGTTTTTCCAACACCAAGTCTATGCTCTTTGTGGTCATTATGATAAGAAAAAGAGAACAGTAAAATGAACATATACTACAACTCGTATTTCTTAAATCTTGAGCCCTAAAGCAAGACATGAAAAACCTAACCTTGCTTTGTTTTGTTTTTTTCCATGGTGCCTGTTGCTTCTCTCCTCCAACTTATTCTTCAACATTGCATCTTCATTGTCCCTGGATCAAGCCATCTCCTCTTCCCTGGACCTGTCAATTGAAATAAAGAGTGAGGGATACCAGGTAAAACTGATGAAGTAATTGGACTTACTTCATGTGTTAACTTGAAATGAACACAGCTAGTAGAGGCAAATTGAGGTAAGGTTTATGTAATTTCAGAAGAGTGAAAATATTGAATAAATATTTAGCATAAAACTTAAAGGTAAATCTTTTGTGAATAAGTATGAAATGCATTAGTTAATATTATACTACCGTAGTTTTTAATATGGTGCATTCTTTTTGGGATCTAATCAATTAATTTAGACCCATTGATTTTATTAGCAGGTTATAGTTTAGGAAAATTATCTAAAGAAGAAAAACCTTGAGCAAGTATAAAGGCCAAAACATCTGTTTCTTTTTCATTAAACAGTAACTTTCTTGGTGGCTTTATCCACACATTCAACATCTTGTAGGCTCCTTTACGTCCAAAAGATGCTTCTCAAATGTGGCCTGTTTGTAGTGACCACCAGACATGAAGCTGCAAGTTCATGAAGTTTGATCAGATGCCTCCCATTATAGAGGCTGAAAGTGTCCAGGTTTTTCCAGCCTGCCTTGCAGCTAAGGAGTGATGGACACATGATCTAGGATATGTCACTCCAATTGACACAGATAGTTGCAGATTTCCTAAGGCACATATACTTGATATATTTTTTTTTATTTTCTAATAAGTTGCTAATACAGTTTAGGTGACTCAAACTGCTGCTTTTGATGGTTTCCTCACCAGAATAACTGTCCTATATGATTTGGGGCATCATTGCTGGCCACTTAATCCCAAACTTGGTTCACCAGTCTCCCAGCCATTCTAAATATCCTTCCAACAAATTCCCTTGCTGCTAAAATCAGCCAAAGTTGTTTCCTGTTACTTGCAACTAAGAAACCTAATTGAAACCATCAAAATATATGAGTATTACCCAAGTACTAGCTGGTTCAGATCAGTGGATAGAGCATCAACCTGCGGACTGAAGGGTTTCAGGTTCAATTCCAGGCTCAGGTTGCAGGCTTGATTCCCAGTAAGGGGCATGCAAGAGACAGCCAATCAATGATTCCCTCTCATCATTGATGTTTCTATCTCTCCCTTTCCCTTCCTCTCTGAAATCAATAAAAATTTATTTTTAATGCTATCCAAGACTGAAAAAAACTTGAAATATGTAAAGCCATATTTTTATGGATAAGTATTTTGTGAACATTTAGTTATCTAATCTATAACTAATTGAAAATAAACCTAAAATGTCTTCATAACTATATAATAAAAAGCCTAAGTGACCATTATGGCAGAATGACCAGTTGCTATGATGTGCACTGACCACGAGGGGGCAGATGCTCAACACAGGAGCTGCCCCCTTGTGGTCAGTGCACTCCCACAGGGGGAGCACCGATCAGCCAGAAGCTGGGCTCATGAGCCCAGCAGTGGTGGTGGTGGGAGCCTCTCCCGCCTCCACAGCAGCACTAAGGAGCAGCGAGCCTAGTGGTAAGGAGTAGCATGCAGGCAGGCGTTAAGGAGCGAGAGGTCCCAGTCTATGAGAGAAATGTCCGACTGCCGGCTTGGCTCTGATCCTTGGGGAGAATGGGATTAAGCCAGGAGGCAGACATCCCCTGAAGGGTCCCAGACTGTGAGAGGGCACATGCCGGGCTGAGGGACCCCCCAACCCCACCCCCAGTGCACAAATTTTGTGCACCAGGCCTCTAGTATTAGATAAAATGTAACTACACAGTTTCAGAGCTAGGACATCATCAAGCTCACATACAGGGTGTCAAAAAATGTATACATACTTTAAGAACTGATAGTTCAATTTAAAAAATGTTATTTAATAAACACCACCTTTATAATTATTCAAAGTGTGTATCTGCATTTTGGGGGGACACTTTATATATACATACTAGAGGCCTGGTGCATGAATTTGTGCATGGGTGGGGAACCTCAGCCTGACTGGCAATTGGAGCTGATGACGGCCGGCCAGCCGGAGATAGGGAACGTGGGAGGTTGGCTGGCTGTGGGAGGTTGGCTGTGGCTATGGGAGCGCCCTGACCGCCAGGGGGAAGCTTCTGCATTGAGCTTCTTCCCCCTGGTAGTCAGTGTGCATCATTTCTACCAGCCAGTTGTCCAGGCATCAGGCCATAATGTTCACTTAGGCTTTTATATATAGACTAGTGGCACGGTACACGAAATTCATGCACTCGGGGCAAGGGGGGTCCCCCAGCCTGACCTGTGCCCTGTCACAGTGCAGTAGCCTCGCGATCCGTCACCCCAAAGAGGTAGGCTCTTACCCATTTAGGGCTCCTCAGTGGAGTGTGTCAGAGAGGTAGGCCAGAGCCAAGGGAAGCCTGTGGACCCCCAGGCTGGGCCATGGCGGAGGCCTGTGGACCCTCAGTGCAGGCACACAGAGACCCCTGCTGTGGCCCTGCCTCTGGACTGGGCTGCGGAGGAGACCTGCGAGCCTCTGAGTACCTCAGGACCCCCAATGCATGCTCAAGGAGGCCCCCGCAGCAGGCCTCCTCCCCAACACTGCAAATCCCCACGAACCCAAGCCTGCTGTGCGCACAGCCTGCTATCAGTTATTACTATGATGGCGTCCTGACAAATTTGCATAGTATCCTATTATTAGATAGATGGTCAGTATACACTAATTTTAAGACATAATAAAAAGTATATAGTTAACAGAAAATGAATTAGAATTTTTATTTTATTTAATTACAAAGGGGAGGAAAACTGCATTAGAGAAAATTTGGAAAATCTAGAGGAATGAAACAACTAAAACAACTAAAACAAATAAAACAACTAAAACAACTGTCATGATAATTTTGTTTTACTGCCTGCTAGTCTTTTTTTCCCTTGAATATTTTATATGATTGTTGATTAAGCCCACCTATAATTTTACTTTTACTTTTTCACCTACATTATAGCATAAGCAATTTACTTTCTTAAAAATCAGATTATTATTACTCATGTTATTTATTTGTTTTTTTGTGGCCATTTGAGCAGAGTTACGAGTATTCCTCACTATTCCCAATCAATGTTAACTATCTGCTGGTGTCCTTCCATTCCTTTATCTTCATATGATCACATACAGACACATACAGAAAAAAACTAAAAGTGTTTTCCATAAGAACAGGAACCAGACACGGACGTCCACTTCCACCACTCATATTCAGCATGGTGTTAGAAGGCCTTGCCACAGCAGTCAGACAAGATGAAGAGATAAAGGCATCCAAATTGGAAAGGAGGAAGTAAAACTGTCATTATTCACAGATGACATCTTATACATAGAAAACGCTAAAGCCCTAGCCGATTTGGCTCAGTAGATAGAGCATCAACCTGCAGACTGAAGAGTTCCAGGTTCAATTCCAATTAAGGGCACATGCCAGGGTTGGGGGCTTGGTCCTCAGTAGGGGGCATGCAGAAGGCAGCCAATCAATTATTCTCTTTCGTCATTGATTTCTCTCTCCTTTCTCCTCTCTCTTCTCTCCTCTCTCCTCTCTCTCTCTCTCTCTCTCTCTCTCTCTCTCTCTCTCTCTCTCTCTCTCTCTCTATCTCTCTATCTCTATCTCTATCTCTATCTCTATCTCTATCTCTATCTCTATCTCTATCTCTATCTCTATCTCTATCTCTATCTCTATCTCTATCTATCTATCTTTCTCTGAAATCAAGAAGGAGAAGGAGCCGGGACTGGTTTGGCTCAATGGATAGAGCGTCGGCTTGGGGACTGAAGGGCCCCGGGTTCGATTCTGGTCAAGGGCATGTACCTTGGTTGTGGGCATATCCCCAGTAGGGGGTATGCAAGAGGCAGCTGATCGATGACTCTCTCTCATTGATGTTTCGAACTCTCTATCTCTCTCCCTTCCACTCTGTACAAAAATCAATAAAATATATTAAAAAAAAAAAAAAAAAAAAAAAAGAAGGAGAAGGAGAAATAAGTTAGAGAGAGAACCCTAAAGACTCCACCAGGAAACTACTAGAATTAATAAATCACTTAGGCAAGGTAGCAGGATATAAAATCAACATCCACAAATTGATGGCATTTCTATATACCAATAATGAACTCTCAGAAAGAGAAACTAAAAAAGCAATTCCATTTACCATTGCAACAACAACAACAAAATAAGATACCTAGGAATACACTTAACCAAGGAGGTAAAAGACCCGTGCTTGGAAAACTATAGGACATTGAAAATAGAAATAGAAGAAGATAAAAACAAATGGACGCATATACCATGTTTATGAATTGGAAGAATTAACATCATTAAGATGTCTATACTATGCAAAGCAATCTACAGATTCAATTCAATCCCTATTAAAATACCAATGGCATAAGAACAAGTACTCCAAAAGTTTATATGGAGCCATGAAAGACCCCAAATAGCTCCAGCAATCTTGAAAAAGAACAACAAAGAAGGAGGGATCACAATACTAGATATTGAACTATACTAGAAAACCATTACAACCAAAACAGCCTGGTACTGGCACAAGGGCAGGCATATAGACCAATAGATAAGAATAGAGACCCCAGAAATTGACCCATACCATTATAGTCAATTAATATTTGACAAAGGAGGCAAGAACATACAATGGAGTAAAGATAGCCTCTTCAACAAATAGTGTAAGAAAACTGGACAGACACATACAAGAAGATGAAACTAGACCATCAATTTACACCACTCACAAGAATAAACTCAAGGTGGATAAAAGACTTACTGTAAGGTATGAAACCATAAAAATCTCAGAGGAAAACATAGGCAGTAAAATCTCAGACATCTCACAAAGCAATATGTTTATGGATACATCTCCTAGGGCAAAGGACACTAAGAAGAAAATAAACAAATAGGACTACATTAAGATAAAGAGCTTTCATATAGCAAAAGAAACCACCATCAAATTGAAAAGAAAACGCACTGAATGGGAGAACGTATTTGCCAATGACACTTCTGATAACGAGTTAATATCCAAAATATATAAAGTACTTATACAACTCAACAAAAAGAAGACAATCCAATTA